GATTGATCTGCTGTATACTTACTTACGCGTCCGTGAAGTAAATGCGAATTTGGCCTCATATTGTAAAAGTAATTACTTTTATAACAGTTATTCGTGTAGGTGTTTATTTAGAGCGAAAGTTTTTTTTTCTTGATCATGATTACGCATACGTTTCTGAACTACTTATTAGACGATATGGTTATTCACCGATTTCTCGGATATGGCTTCACCGATTTTGTTAGTTTACATTGTAATCTTATTATATAGGAAAATTTGATGGGACCTCAAGATTTACTTTAATGGTAAATCTTGAGGTCCCATAAAATTTTCTTTGACGTAGATAGAATATGCCGTTTTCGAGAATATTAAAAAAAATGGTGTATTATGAAATTTTAAGTAAGCAGATTTCGAAAATATCTGATTATACAATTAAATGAAATTTAGTGTGTGAAGGTCGGTTTTTATTATTATTTTTTACTTTTAAAAATATTTTTTCTTATTTTAATTTGCCATATGAATAATTAACATTCAGCGCAACAGGTCTTGGTCTATTTAACATAATTACAAACACTAAAAAATAATTTTTATATAAGTATATGTATACCGTAAAATTTTATTTTTATCTTAATTTTAATAACGTGTGAAGACACACTTAGGTATTAAGCGCGATAAAAATCTATATAAAATTACAACACTGATACATAAAAGTAATCATCTGAAAGCAATAATAGCTTGTAATCTTAAATTTAAATCAAATTTTCCTCAATACGAGCGTAATAATATATAATGAATCAATCTTATTCTGCTTCGGGGCGTTCACGTTTCATTCAATCGGAACGGAAAACTTGTGTTCCGCCTATTATCATACTCGATTAAGGACTACTCGAACTAGAACTACAAATTTTCGCGCAACAAAGTTACATAATGATTTGAATTTAATTTGATTTTATTTCATGCCTAAGTTGTCAAATAAATTTAAAGTAATTTAGATGGACAATTTATTTATAAGTACTTAATTTTTTCTATACTAATAAAGAAGTAAAGTTTGTGAGTTTGTGAGGTTGTAGAGTGTTATCTCTGGATATACTGAACTGATTTAGATGAAATTTGCTAAGAAGATAGTTTAAGACCCTGGGAAGGACATAGGATACTTTTTATCCCAGAAATCATGGCCTAAAGGGGTGAAAATGGGGATGAAAGTTTGTATTGGGAAGCAAAGTATAATAAATCGCTAGTATAATATAAAAAACAATCTATTTATAAATATTATTTGATTTTACTGATAATTGTACAAAGATAATATAGCAATTATTGCATAATAAATGTGTACGATAAGAATTACTAGTTCAAGTCGTTATAGTTATTAATGTTATAGTTATTAATGTTAATAGTTATTAGTTATTAATAGTTATTAGTTATTAATAAACACAAGCAAACTTCATTTTAAGATTATCTAGGTATCTACAAAAACAAAAATTTTCAACTAGGCGGACTTAATTTAGCGCAAACTTAATTAAGCGGATGAAGAAGAAGACAAATATTAGACAAAAAAGGTAGATTAGCAAAACTCAAGCCGACAATTATTAAGAAAAAATATAAATGAACAAATTTGACTATGTTAATTATACATTCTATGTTCGAGTAAATATAAGTCTCAAACTTTAATCCAACAAAATTTAAATGCTTGCCTTTTTTTTCCAAAATATTTTCCCAAAGTATCAATTTTTTTATTAAAGGTACTTAACACGATTTTTTATAAGTACATACCTAATACCTATAATAAAAAAATATAAAAATAAATTTGCCTGAAAAATTTGACTCAGGACCTTGATTTTTATACACCTAATAGGGAGACTATACTCGTAGACCTAAGTATCTGTTATAAATTGCTAGTTCCACCCGTTCCTGAGAAAATCGGTGGTGACACACGGACAGACAGACGGACAAGAGATGGACGGACAGACGGATACGTTTTCCTTTTTTTACCTGTTGAGGTACGGAACCCTAAAAATGAATATTTTGTATTGACCTAGATAGGTTATGAATTCGAGAAGTCTAAACTCAGCCTTTGTATAATAAGGTACAATTACATCAACACATGTAGCGTATAAATTGTGGTTTAGATGCTATATAATATGCAAACAATATAATTGTAGGCCCGCCCGTTCATAATTATTTTGTGTCGGTAATCAAATCGATCCTTGCATCTGTCGATATCTACACTATTATAAAACTAAATCGGAAATATGAAGTCTGCACGTCGAAGATTTATTATAAGGCAAATTTTGATGAAACTTCTAATATTTGAAGACGCTACTACTAATAAAAGTAAATTCATGTTATATCCAGTAGAAGTCTTTATGTACTCATAAAATGTTAGTGCATTTGTGCGCTGTTATATTTTAAAATATAATGAAAAAAATATATTTTTATTAGAAACTCGGTGCATCCAATGATTTTGCTGTATCGCGACTACTACCGTTGAAGCTTTGATACGTAAAAGGAAAAAATAAGTTTCGAATTTTCATTATAACATAGAACTTAGAATATTATTTAAACATTCCAAATATCATTCAGACCATTTTATATGACGTTCTTAATAATGCCCATTTTAATGCTACATATTTAAATATAACGCCTGCAAGTTATTTGATGCAAAGTGTCATTTACGTACTATTTTAATAAATTAAGAGAAATTGCCTATTACAAAAACCACGCTGTAACCACAGTATTCAAGCAGATCAGAAATTATTTATTATAGTTTCTTAATGAATAATAAATGTATTCATTATAAAACAGCCTTAAGGCATAGGTTTATGTATCGATTTAAATAATCATGGGTTGGTAGTGTACTATCGAAAGCAATCAATTTACTCGCAATAAAGATCGGTTATGAAAAAAATGTATAATTTGATATTGAAATTATTTCGAAATAATATTCAACCTCTTTTGGATTTGTTTTTTTTTCTTTATAAACATTCTAATGGCTTGCCTTTGCTTATGGTATTTTAAATATGTTACAGAGAAGTATATGATGAAGACTATAACCTATGTATACAAAGTTTTAATTCAAAAGGATGGAAAACGTTCGATCCGTTCAGGAATTTTCTGAAAAATACTTGATTTAAGACATACAGATAAAAGTTCCAAGCATTGTAAATTCATACATATCTCAAATTTCAATAGAACATAAAAAATAAATATAAAGTAAAACTAGCTACTAACTCTCGCTTCGCTCGGGTTCGTCCCTAGATACGTTTTGACATTTAGTAAGGAATGGATAGACTATATTATATTATATATATAGGTATGATGAGTTGTTGTGAGTTGTATTATAACGTGTTTTCCCGTGGGAATGAGATAATCTCCCACAGTAAAAAGTCACTATCCAGCCCTCCAACTATCTCCACACAAAAAATCACGCCAATCCGTCACTCTGTTTCGACTTGAAAGAAGGACAAACTAACACACTTTTACAATTATAATATTAATTTGGATGTACATTTTTGACAACCACAACAGTTATTATAAATATAAATTATTATATACATATATATTAGACGCCCTATAATTTTATTCAAATAGATAACATTAACTGTGCAAACCTCCATTGTTATTTATTTTATTACATCTGTAATAATAAAAAGATAATAATAAATAAATTCCATAAGTACTTTGGTACATTCTTTCCTGCCACTTGTATAATATGGCCATGTTACCCTTGTATTAAATGCTTTATATACACATAATACTGTTCTCATAAAAATAACTAAAATTGCACTACTAAAAACTAAAATAGCCTTTAAGTACTAATTGTAAATCAGTTATACTATCATACTTCATATTTAATGGCTTAGTGTTAATTATCCAGGAATTAGATTATAAAACTCTCCATCCGATTTCCACTTGGTTCACAGAATAAGCTTTAAATTATTCATTGTAATTACTCGTACTCTTTATTATCTTTAATATCTAATATTATATTATAATCTTCAACTGCCTCGGTGGTGTAGTGGCTATCAAGTACGGCTGCACACCCGGTGGTTCTGGGTTTGAGTCCCGGGTCGGGCCAAGTTTAGTTATTGAGTCTTTCTGTATAGTAAGCCTTAGTAACAGCCCGGAGTTGGGAAGTTGGCGGTGTTTCACCCCCGTGCCTCGGAGAGCACGTAAAGCCGTCGGTCCTGCGCCTTAACTCTCACTGGTCGTGTCGATTAGTCGTCCCACCGGAGTATAAGAGTGACAGGAATAGAGAGTGCACGTTGTGTTTGCGCGTACACTTGTGCACTATAATATCTCCTGCGCAGTTGGCTAGGCTCAATGAGATTGGCCGCCGTGGCCGAAACCGGTCAGGAGAACATCATCTTTAATAATATATTCTGTTAATTTATAGTAATTGATACAATTGTTTTTAAGATTAATTTAAAATACCATAACTATGTCAGGTGTATATAAAAATAATGCAAATACACTATGATAAACTTAGATATTAAGGAAGTAAAAGTTAAAACGGTTCATGGTCATGGCTCCTAAGCGCCGAATTATAAATAAAAATTGTAACGAAGTGGTCCAACGTTGAGCAAGATTGTGTTGAAATTAAGTAATGCGATTGTATCTAACAAAATGTTCAATTAAATATAGGGCTAGATAAAATATAGAACAACTATAACTGTCAAGAAACAAACGACAATAAAGGAAGTAAAAGTCCTTGTATTTTAGGATATGCAACTGAGTCCCTTTAACTAGTGCAGTTGCAAAATAAACGTGACAACGCATTCGGCAGGCTCGGACAATTTAGAATAGATATTATTTATAGGTACAACACCAAATTTGCATTAAAGCACCTGCGTTCATTCGAAAGCCACTGTAACTCACGTATCTAATGAATCCATCGCTAAAATTTCAATTACGATTACAATATATTTTATGGAAGGAAAGAAATCTATGACTATCATACAATCAATATTTGCTTATAGCTACTGTTAATATAAATATAATTTCAAATTATTATATATAATCAGTAAATGCTTATGTATTTATATTCTAAATTTTCTATTACAGAAGCAATATCCCCTGAAGACCAATCAACGTCAGCATCATGGTGGCAAGCAGGCACAGCTACACCATTCCGGGACAGTAGTAACAGTTTCGCGTCAACACACGGCATTGTCCAAACTCATCCGAGTGTAAACGATCCGTTCAACTCCTTCGGGTCCATCGACAGCACCATTGGACCATCAGCGAATCCATTCTTGCAAACTAGCGGCAGCGGTCCGCTAAGTGGCACATTCAGGAACAATCCTTTACCACCTTTAGTGAAGACATCTAACGGCAAGCTGTCATTGAAACATTTAGATTTTACAAGCAGCGCCACAGCTGAACTAAGAAGAAACCCGGCTTTATCCGCCCCTGATGAATGCGCAAGAGCCTGTAGAGAAAATGAACCACCAAGGATATGCTACTATCACTTTACCCTTGAATTTTACACAGTCTTAGGAGCGTAAGTATTTATTTTCTTGTTCTCAGGTTATTAGAAACGATTTAAAAATGTATTTATATAAGGGCGTACCTATTCATTTTAGTTTCCTGAAGTAATTAAATTCACTTACCACAAAAAATATCCATTCCATTTTCTGTATAGTATTATTAAACTATAATAACTGTTTCCGGTAATAAATCCTGTATTACACAATGTTGGCCTTTATGTATATGAGCTTAGTGAACTAAGATCAGTTTGAAATTGTAATTTTAATGCATAGTTATTTATGTGATACCGAAGCTAGATTGGTATGAAGTGACAACAACTAATAGTTAAGCTTTAACCCAAATTTTTGCTGTGTGATTTAACGTTTACTTAGTAATTGATCGGTGGTGACACACTTTATGCAAACTCCGCAGTCGTTTATTTTGTAATAAACATGATTGAAAAAATAGTAAATTATATTAACTCTTAATTGACTAACTGTTTATTTTCTGTTGATAGAGCTTGTCAAGTATGTACACCAAACGCAACTAATTCGGTATGGTCGCACTGCCAATGTGTATTAGCTGATGGAGTCGAGCGTGGTATTCTTACGGTAAACAGAATGTTGCCTGGTCCTTCTATTCAAGTATGTGAAAATGATAAAGTAGTTATTGATGTTGAAAACCATATGGAAGGTATGGAAGTGACCATTCACTGGCACGGTATCTGGCAACGTGGTTCACAATACTATGATGGTGTACCATTTGTAACTCAATGCCCGATTCAACAAGGAAACACATTCAGGTAATATCAACCTAAACTTTATAATAATTAGAAAAAAAATATTTCAGTATTTTGGAAAAAAATATACGTAGATTATCTCAATTTCTTTGAATAGCATCATATTTATACATGTACTAATTTAAAATTACAGATATCAATGGCAAGGTAATGCGGGTACTCACTTTTGGCATGCTCATACTGGTCTGCAGAAGTTGGATGGTATTTACGGAAGCATTATAGTTCGTCAACCACCGTCTAAAGATCCTAACAGTCACTTATACGATTACGATTTGACGACTCACGTCATGTTAATCAGTGATTGGCTTCACGAAGATGCTGCTGAAAGGTACCCAGGACGTCTTGCTGTAAACACTGGTCAAGATCCTGAAAGTGTACTGATTAACGGAAAAGGACAGTTCAGAGACCCTAATACTGGTTTTATGACTAACACTCCTCTTGAAGTATTTACTATCACGCCTGGCAAAAGATACAGGATGAGATTGATTAACGCCTTTGCATCAGTTTGCCCCGCTCAAGTTACGATCGAGGGCCATAATTTGACAATCATCGCAACTGACGGTGAACCAGTACAGCCCGTACAAGTTAATACAATCATTTCTTTCTCTGGTAAGTTATAACGCACAGTACTTAACTATAAATTAAAAATTACAAGACTTCATATACATTTCTTGAATAATATGTCTACAAAAAATAATAACATAATATGAACATGTAAAGCGGAACATCTTTATTTAGCAATATGGGTGGATATATGATGTTCTCCTGGCCGATTCCGGCTACGGCGGCCAATCTCATTGAGACTAGCCAACTGCGCAGGAGATATTATAGTGCACAATTGTACGCGCAGACACAACGTGCACAATCTATTCCTGTCACTCTCATACTCCGGTAGGACGAACACTCGACACGACCAGTGAGAGTTAAGGCGCAGGACCGACGGCTTTACGTGCTCTCCGAGGCACAGTGGTGAAACACCGCCAACTTACCAACTCCGGGCTGTTACTGAGACTTACTATACAGAAAAACTCAATAACTAAACTTGGCCCAACCCAAGACTCGAACCCAGGACCTCCGAGTGTGCAGCCGTACATGCTAGCCACTACACCACCGAGGCAGTTTGGCTATATAATATATGTATGCGCATCAAGTAAATGCTGTTTAATAATGCGCGCCCTGTTATATCATAACCTAAGCATGTTTAGTTATTTTGTGCAAGTCAAGCGATTAGAATTGTGTACATATTATACCTACTCAATACTTCCTCAATTACTTAATTACTTTTTTACTTATCAATTTAATGATGCACAGAAAATATAGACAAACTTATAAATGATTTGAATCACTCGTTTAAAACTTTCACTAAAGGATATTACAAATTTTAAAGTTAAAATTACATAAAATTTAAAATAAAATAAAAAACTTAAGTATTTTAAATTTTACCTGCTTATGAATTTTAGGCGAACGTTACGACTTTGTTATCGAAGCGAATAATATCCCTGCTGCGTACTGGATTCAAGTACGTGGCCTCGGAGAATGTGGTAATAAGAGAAGTCAACAACTCGGTATTCTTCGGTACGCTAGAGGACCTTATCAACCATCATCTGCTCCACCAACTTACGACGTCGGACTCCCACAGGGAGTGGTAAGTACTAATAAATGAGCATAATAAAAGTTTTTTTTTACATCTAAACCTTCCTTATGTAAATACATTATAAAACCTTTAAAGATGGTGATATTCGGTATTTCCTATGTATACAATGAATGAAACTCCTTTCCTTCAATCAAATGAATAGCGATCTGTCACGATATCTTGCTTATTAATTGCCGGATATTGCATACTGGATTCTTGCAAACACGACAACCTCGATAAACTTAGTTAATTTTGTTGCTCATTATTTCTTACACCTAAGCACCAGTATTTGTGCTGATAATTCGAGCCTTTTTATCTTCTTAATTAACAACCAGTATGCAACTGTATAGAAAGCTGTTATTAAGCGAGATTTGTAAATATCGTAACATATGATTAGATCACTCAAATACTTTGAAAATTCAACGGTATGTAATTATGTAGTTGGTGCAGTAATGTAGATCCTTAGCACCTTCCCATTTGATCTTCTGTAAGTAACGGCAGAAACATTTAATTTAATCATATGAATATATATATGTATACAATCTCAATTATATTTACTATCCTGAATCGTACCTTATTGTATAATAATTTTAAATATTTTTGCCCATAGTACTTATTTCTGCAAATTTTCTTCAACTTATATTGAGAACCTATATTATTATAAATCATAGTAGATCTAAGTAGAAGTAGATGGTGCACGTTTTATTAGTAATTGCACGTACCTTTTTACCCACTAACTATTCAGGTTATGAACCCCTTGGATGCAAGATGTAATATTCCTAGAAACGATGCTATTTGCGTCAGCCAATTGAAAAATGCACAAAATATCGATCCCGCGATTTTACAAGAGAGACCTGACGTCAAGATCTTCTTGCCATTCCGTTTCTTCGTCTATAGACCAGAAATGTTATTCCAACCTAACACCTACAACAGATTTTTGGGTAAGAATATGGACTATTTCTCTTCATTATTGAAATTTCATTTTAAAGGCTTTTATTAAATTACTAATATTACGATTCACAGTGGCACCCCAAGGAGATCATGTAATCTCTTTAATAGATGAAATTTCATATATGGCTGCGCCTGCGCCTCTTCTCAGTCAATATGATGATATAAACCCGGAACAATTCTGTAACGGAGATAACAGACCAGCTGATTGTGGACAGAATTGCATGTGCACGCACAAAGTAGATATCCCTCTTAACGCTATAGTAGAAATCGTACTGGTAGATGAAGGTATGTTACATAACTTTGCAAACGCTAATCTAGTTTCCTGTAAATGTATATAACTAATTACTTTTTTTTTAATTTCAGTACAAATCGTCAACTTATCTCATCCGTTCCACTTGCACGGATATTCTTACAATGTTGTCGGTATCGGTAGATCACCGGATCAAAATGTGAAGAAAATTAACTTAAAACACGCTCTTGATTTAGATAGGAGAGGATTACTAGATCGTCATTTAAAACAGGGTGACCTGCCACCTGCAAAGGATACTATTGCCGTTCCTAATAATGGTTACGTTATTCTTCGTTTTAGAGCCAACAATCCTGGTTTTTGGCTTCTTCATTGTCACTTTTTATTCCACATTGTTATTGGTATGAACGTCGTCCTTCAAGTGGGCACCCACGCAGATCTTCCTCCCGTACCTCCTAACTTCCCTACCTGTGGAGACCATCTCCCTCCCATTAAATAAATCTGTTCCTAGAAACACTTTCCAGTTTACTTACCCAACAATTGGTATAGCAGTTGATTTTTATGTTAACTAAGTGTAATTTTATGTTTGTTTTGTGTGATGTGTCGGCAGACTCGAAGTGCTCGATTCTGCCTTAAGTGTTTATTTTTATACGAATGTTTCCACTGGAGGTAATGCTGGTTTGTGATTTTATTTAAAGGTGATATTTGCTGAGTGAATTTCAGTTTAATCTTATGCTTTATTCTGGTGGTACCGTTCTGATTTCGCATCACTTTGAATATCGCATTGAGGCTCTTATTTGTACGACAACAATTTTTACACATATTTCTTTTTATTTTTACAACGAACGTGTTCGTTCTGTAACTAACGACTTGCCATTTAATTTTTCACCAAGGATATTTATTGCGTGTATATATTTAAATATTGCGAGGGATATAAAAATAAGCCACCCCAAAATTTCGTACCGGAAATCATTGTATCATTTATTTATGCATCTTAGTTATTAACACCATTAACTTCACGTACTAATGGATAGTGTCGAGGGTATTAAGCACTCATGGGCGTAATTGCGGGGTGGCTTACTTTTGGCAACCTCTTTATATAATATTAGACATTTAAGATACTTTTTTGAATACTAACCCAAAATTGCATGAAAACAACAATATTAAAAATGAAAAAATTATCCACAACTGCTACACTTGTAAATACACTTGAATGTACCTACAGATGCACTACAGTCGGACAGACCTAAACAGATTGCACTGCACCCAAAAAATAAAGACTGTTAATAACCATATTAATATAAATACTTAAGTATACAAAATGTTACCATATACAGTTACCAACTTTATTTTAAGAATATATCAATATACTTATATTATAGCAACATTAATGAGAAGTGGCAAAGTAAACATCCCATAAATTCACATATTAATATTATATATAATAGAAAAAATTACTATGATTACATGCAATTATCGTACATATATTACGTAATAAGAAAATTGTAAATTTTTATACTACTTAATAAATTTTTAAAAATATAGCATTTTTTTATTTTCCCTGCAACTTTTACAATGCAATGACAGACAAGCACATTTTCATATATATCCTTTCAAAGCTAAATCGACAATTTGTAGTGTATAAAATTATGTGACATCTCGTAGTGTAATAATAATTTCCCACGCATGTAGACTATATATTTTCTGAGCATGAGTAGATAGAATCCATGGTATACCCCTTTTAGATGGACATATGTAGAGGTGTCGTGGTCTTAAACGGATCTTGCACGAGTGACTCTAATTTCAGGTTGTATATTTTTATATTTATTAAGTTGTATTTTTCATTTCACAAAATATTTTTTAGTGAATAATAAAATTTAATTCTTTTAAACATTATTTATTTTAATTATTATTTTCATTTCTCATAATTTGCTTTATAAAATTTCACTTAACTAGTAAAGATGAAATAAAAGTCATAAAACTCGCTAGCGTTTCTTAAATAAATAGCAAATGTTCACAGGTCATGAACCCATTGGATGCAATATGCGACGTCAAACGAAACGATGCTGTATGCGTTAGCAATTTAAAATCTGCCAAGCCCGTCGACAAAGCGGTCCTGCAAGAACGCCCCGATGTCAAAATATTTCTGCCATTCAGGTTTCATCTCTACAAACCCAAAGAGTTATTCAAAGAAAATACTTACAGAAATTTTTTAGGTAAGAAAATTAAAGACATCAAACAGTACATCTTCAAGATAGCAAATATATTTTAAAAGATTTGATTGGCTGTACAATGTACACATCAGATATAAATTAGGTTCTACATGATTTAAATATCATTAAAATCGTTTTGATTTAATCGCTCTGTATTGTAAAAAATCTCACAAATCTTTAAATACTTCTTATTGTTTCAGTTGCCCCTAGTGGTGATCACGTTTTGAGTTTGGTAGATGAAATATCCTACATGGCTCCTCCAGCGCCACCGCTGTCACAAATGCACGAGCTCCCACCAGAACTATTTTGCAACGGCGACAATAGACCGGCTGACTGCGCTGTCGATTGTAGATGTACACATATGATTGATGTACCATTAAATTCTATCGTAGAAATAGTTCTTGTGGATGAAGGTAAGAAAATTTCGAGTCTGTTAACGATTATTTTAATTCTTTATTCAAAATTTTTGTATATGATTTTCATCACCTTACTTTACATATAAAGCTGAATTGTTAGATTTAAAAATGGTATATTTTATAACCTAACCATTGATCTAACATACGACTCTTGGGACCAGACAAGCACACAAAGCCGTCTGTCTGCACACTCTGTTTATAATAAATAGTGAAACGCACTAAAAACCTATTCAATATAACTTTATGTACCATCCGTTCCTTCTCACTTTCACATTCATAATATTATTATAGATAATTCAGTTCTATCATATGTATATCTACTAATAACCTCAAGCTTAGCACACTCCTCTATCTTAAAAGAGGTGGAATTATTAAGATATTTAATTTTCGAGATAGCAATGGTAGCCCATTATCTTACGCATGAATCTCATTTTTAACCGACTCCCAAAAATGAGGAGGTTCTATGTTTGTCTGTATGTATGTTTTTTTATGTATGTTCAACGATTTCTCAGAGACGGCTTGACCAATTTTGCTACTTTACATTTTATCTCTCTAGCTCTATAAATTCTTCCATAAACACTAAATATGTAATGTGAGATTTGTCAATTTTATAGACTTCTTCAAAGATGTGCATGCTCATGTAAGATTTTCTTTTATGTTGTAATCATTTTTATGTCTCCAAATAGACCTATGCTTTACGAGGTTCGATTTAAACCGTACAGTTGCGGTTTATGTGAGACACCTACGAGTATCTTCAGCTATAAAAATGATACCAAGTCTAATAATACTTTCTTAGATTTACGCGAATATTTGACTTAAAATAAAACTATCTTTTCAGATGTTTTCGCGGATTTATTTTGATTTTTGGTTCCCGACGTTTCAAATGCTTTACAGCAATCATGATCACGGGAGAGACTAAGGTTTTAGATGGCCCTAAGGCATTATGTAGTTGTTACAGACAGCCTACCCACAAAATAACAAAATGAATTCAAATTTTTTTATAATTTTAATAAGTTAAGGAAAATGGGCAGGGAGAAGAATTACCTATATAGTTACTATATGTAAACCTTCAATATTAAAGTTTTAAAATCAATTTATATAATTAATTGTAGCTTAGAGCTTTAAACCTTTGCCTTCGGCTTCAGCCAGAAATTGACCTTCGGTCGGACACTAGCTGGCACCGACTTCGAAAATATCTGATTAGGTGAACTAAATGAAAGCTAACTATACTAAAGTTAGCTATACTAAAGTTAGCTATACTAAATGAAAACCCCCGTTCAGTTATTTTTAATTTTTAGTGCCTGGAAATCGGTTTTTTTAAGTTTTTTCAACATAAATTATCGCTGAATAACATGATGAAATGATGAAGATAAAGATGAAGGAAAATATTATGATAAAACTTGCATATATGAGAGAATTAAACAAGCTAACCTAATATATTTATTTCAGTACAATCACCAAATCTTTCTCATCCATTCCACCTTCATGGGACGTCGTACAACGTAATTGGTATGGGCAGATCCCCAGACAAAAACATCAAGAAAATAAACTTAAAACATGCCCTCGATTTAGACAGAAAGGGTCTTTTACACAGGCAATATAATTTGCCTCCATTTAAAGATACTCTCGCAGTGCCCAACAATGGATACGTTGTACTGCGATTAAAAGCTGACAATCCTGGTACGTAAAATTATGCTATAAGAATAAAAACAAGATTTAGTGACATGATATTTTTTTATAGGATTGTTGTTTATTTCATAGAAATTTATTAAAAATTAGCGACTCAACCTCGCTACGCTCGGGTTCGTCCCTACTTACGTTTTAACATTTAGTATCAATTTGTCAGAGATGAGATATTTTCACGCAGTAAAAAGTATCCTATATGTTGACCCGGATAACCAGCTATCATCATACCAAATTTCATCAAAATCCCTCCAGTGGTTTTTCCGTAATGCGGTAACGGACAGAGACAAAAATTCTAAAAACTATAGATTCGGGCTACAGAGACCGAATAATCGAAAATAATGTTTATTTTAATAAGATTTTCCAAAAGATATTTAATGTACAGATTCATCTTAGTTACAATTTTATTATATGTATTGATTAAAAAATGGATTTCAGAACTTGGTCATGACCTGTCAAGTAATTTTATGACATTAGCTGAATATGTATATGAGAAAATATCTTAAAATCCAGATGCTGTATCATATTGTTGGTAATTACAACATAATTTATTATTTATTCCAGGCTACTGGCTGTTCCACTGTCATTTCATCTACCACATAGTCATCGGGATGAATTTAATATTGCATATAGGAACTCAACGGGACCTTCCGCCCGTTCCGCCTAACTTCCCGCGATGTGGTCATCACCTACCTTCGATTACATCACCGTCTTACTTTCCAATACATTAACATTTAACTTACATGGACACATTTACAGTTACTCAGACCGTTATATTGTGTAGGTTTTCAAAAAACATAATATTGCCAACCTTATTGCACATTTTGAGTGTCGTGTGATTTAGAATATGACAAATATGGTAAATTTATATTTAAAAAAAAATCGATGCTCAAATCTCTAAGAAACCTAAGCATTGCTAATTTTCAAGTTTGTTCTACAATAGTACGTATATACGTAATATTTAAAAGCAAGACTTGTAAGTTTCACCTGAAATAATAGGTTGGCAATCCTTGAATCGACATTGCCTGAATAGTTTTATTTCAATGTTAGATACAAGAATTCTAATAATTATCTGTAGTTAACCACCAGTTAGCTGTGTGGCGTGTAACTCACTGTAGTTTGAAGTCCGTGTATTTTAATCTTAACTTAGCTCGTGATCGTTTCGATCTCTAATTGTATAGATTCTCGATACTCGAGTTTAACATCAAACACACGTACTGCCATATTTTATTGTGTTGTTAAAAATATGAACAACGTACGAACGAAACAAACGATGGATAAAACATCGAACAACATCTTTTATGAAGACCAAAGTTATCAAATATTTTGTTAGCCCCTTTTCAAATATTATTTCAATCACTTATACGTATTGTTATTATTTTTTATAATATTTTTGTTCGATATTTATATTTTCTTATTGACGTAAACTATTTTAGCGGATTTCGAAAGAATTTACATATTTTATTTATTAACGCGTGTATCTTCACACTGGGGGCTAAGGGTCGATCCGTTGAAAGTTTACCTCAATTTATTTTGTTACTTGTTGTAGAATTGTACATAAGATAGTTTAGCGAACTCGCATAACGTAATCTAGTGATAATAGTTATAATTTTATACTATGTATGTACAACAGGATACATTTATAATTGCGAATGAGTACTGAAGGATAATAAGGCTTTTTGTACACAGTGGATGTGATGTGTGTCTCAAATTAAGATTAAGAAACCAGTATAGCTATTTTATAATACTTAACAAACTATAACACTCATTTCAACATTTCCTTAAAAATTTACATGTTTTAGAGACAGTCCCGCCAATGTGTACAAGTCTTTAATTATATTATATGTATGTATATATACACTCCCACAGTCAAGGGATTAGTTCGATGTAGAATAATAAAACTGTAACTATAATAGTAGCATATGTAAAATGATATATTTAAAACTAGCACTGCCCGCGGTTCCGCCCGCGTTTAGATGCGGTAACAGACAGACAAAAATTCTAAAAACTATAGATTCGGCCTCTGTATCGATAATAATGTTTATTTCAATAAGATTTTCCAAAAATATCTAATGTACAGATTCGGCTTAGTTACAATTTTATTATTTGTATAGATATTGAATAATTATATTTAAATTCATCTCAAGTCGACTAAAAGACTTGTATCCGTAATTTTTATTACGGAACCTGTAATTTCCATATCGTCAACATATCTATTATTTCATACATTATAAAAAAAATATTTTAATCATCATTTACCTTAACATTTCTATGGTAATAAGAAAAATAGCTGATGTCGATAGAGCTCATTTATAACTACTAAATAATACCTTAAAATTATGAAGATCATAGAAAATTCAAACAGTTTGTTTCTTGCATTGACATCCGCTATTTAAAATAGGTTCGAGATGGACACAGAGTAATTTTAATTTTAAAATATGCTACTGTGGTAGGTTTGCCACTAAAGCTACTTAAATAACTACACGTATTTATTACAGTGTACGTATTTATTATATGATTTTTCTGTTACATTTAAATTATTTATCACATTTTAGACTTTATAGTATACATCATTCTACATCGGACCATCCAACGTAATAAAATTATTATTAAGTAAAATATTTGAAATTAAAAAAAAATGTAAAATAAAGAAAATATAAAAATAAATTCTATTTTATTTCACTAAATAAATTTTAATATATTGGCTTATTAAATAACCCTTATACCTCCCATTTGTATTAATTTGATCAAAGTACCTTTATAGACGACACGTTAGGCTCAGTTGGTAGTGACCGTACTTGATGTGCCAGCGGTCGCGGGTTCGAGTCCCGCTGGGGGCATTCATTTGTGTGATGAGCAAGAATGTTTGTACTCCAGTCATGGGTGTTTATATTTATAATATGTATGTATTTAAAGTTATATATGTGTAGTGTATCAACTATCTGGTATCCGTAACACAAGCCTCGTAGCTTACCATGGAACTAGTTGGCGCTGTGTGTTAATATCCCAACATTTATTATTATTATATTATTATCTTTCGGAACCGATTTGATAGGTTTCGTATGGGTAACGAATAAATTACTACATTTTGACAGTGTTTTTATTCTATAACACAAGTAACCGATAAGAAATAATGTTTCGAAATCGATTCAATCAACGATGACACATATGGCTCTGTTTGTAGTGATCCTACTTGCTATGCCAGCGGTCGCGGGTTCGAGTCCCGCTGGGGGCATTAATTTGTGCGATGAGCACGATTTTTTTAATGGGTGTTTATATTTATAATATATGTATATGTATTTAAAGTTATATATATGTAGTGTATCTACTATCTGGTATCAATAATAAAAGCCTCGTAGCTTACCATGGAACTAGATGGTGCTGTGTGTTAATGTAAAAAAAATGATGATTTGATAAAGGAATGAAAAGGGGTTGTAATTTTTATGGGGAACAATATATTCGTATGTGATGTTAAAAAAAATCATCCAGGCAAAGATGGTTGGCGGTAGACTCATATATATTTTCTGTACTACGAGTATCATCGCTTTTCGACTTTACCCTATACACAATGAAATAATAGTAACAAAATGAATAAGTAATTATACTGCTCTAGTAATGTGAATAAATATGAAAAAAATACTTCTATCAGCATTATCCAAAACAACTCCTTAAAAAATCTGATTTTAGTCTTAAATATAAAATGCCGCATAATTAAGTATCGTTGTTATTTTTAACCCCCGACGCAAAAAGAGGGGTGTTATAAGTTTGACGTCGATGTCTGTCTGTGTATGTGTGTCTGTCTGTGGCATCGTAGCTCTCAAACGGATGGACCGATTTCGATTCGGTTTTTTTCATTTGAAAGCCAGTTTCCTTGCGGTGGTTTTTAGCTACGTTTGGTCAATATCGGTCTAGCAGTGTATGAGTATCAGCTTTTTGCCAAAATGATGTAAGGCATTTTGGCGTATGATTACTCGATTAAGTGCTTCACGTGTGCCAGTGTAAATGTAAATGAAAATTATTTTTCGTAGGGGTTTTTTTAAATGTTTAATTTATAATTAAAATTTATGTTAAATCGCTCTTTTAGCGAAAAGGCCGCCTCTTGTACCTTCTTCTATATTATATTGTATATTTTCTTTTTCTCTTTTTGGGTGTACAATAAAGAGTAATACACACTCAAGTGTAACTGAGTTATTAATGATTCGCAATACTTAATTACCCTATATTTACATTATTACCGTATCATATCACTTCAACAGTTTCTTACATGCGTTATGTTTATGCTTTATTACGCGCGATGCACTACATACTTAACCTACTCCGATATTACAATTACCCGTAGGCGTGTTAGGATTCTAAATATTTTTATTGAATCAGGAGAATTCAATGAGCATTATAAAATTGTGAAACTATCTAATATTACAATATTTTTTACGTCTTCGAGTTCTTTCTTTTGTTAAATGTGTATTTAAAGAGAATATTCTTTGGTTGTTTGCTTTTTATTTGGTTTTGAATGCTAGCGTTCAACTTTGCGATTTGTGATAGCAACTAGGGATAAACTAAGTGTCGTACTCTGCCTTTATATTAGTCGTAAAAAAATCTAGATATTCAAGATAAATTAATTTTAGAACAATACTCCTTTAATACTTTTGTATAAGTTCAGATAGATCATCCATCACATTCTAATAAAATTGAAAAAGTGTTTGTACGTTTGTTACATGATCATTCGTAAACCGTTGAACGGGTTTAAAAGAAACTTAGAATACAAATAGACCCTGGATCTACCCTGGATTATACGTCAAAAGGCATATGCTGCTCAGGGAAGTGCTTTAGTGAAAAAAGGTTTACCGCGTTTAATCCTACTAATATTATAAATATGAAAGTTTTTGAAAATATATGGATATCTGGATGTTTGTTATTCTTTCACGTAAAAACTACTGAATGGATTTTAATGAAACTTTACAATAATATAGCTCATACATCAGAATAACACATAGGCTACTTTTTACCCCGGATAAATTTACGGTTCCCGTGGGACAGATTTCTTTTTGTTTTTCTATAAAAATGTATTTATATAAAGGTTAAATGTTTATCCATATTAAATTATACCAGCTTAAATTTAGATATTGTTTTCTTTATTTTGTGATATTTTATCACTCATCTGACGACAGCAGAAAGTAAAGAGAAGAAAATGATGAGTACATACGTGCAGGGTAATGTGTAGGAGGCTCGAACCTGCGACCATCATAAAAGCTGTTCTATTTAATCATCGTAATAGAAAAAATATAATATACTATTATGTATAATCATAAAATTTTACATAAAATGGGTTTAGATTTTAACTGATGTACACACTTGGCTGCCCCTGATGCCTATAATTATGCGAAAAGATAAATAGTACACGCATCTTAGTCACATGTTATATAACACCATGTAACAAAGCTTATGCCATAACAATAATTACAATGAAGTTATTTGTGAATCTTTTGTTAATACATATACAATGCTACTACGTCTTAACAGGTAGGAGAATAGTGTTATCAAATTAGTTTCTTATTTTCATATTAACGAATTTTAATAAATATAATTATACTCTGTAAAGATTTGGACAAATCTTATAAAATTAGAAGCATTGCCCGCGGCACCACACGCGTTCAGATAACAAAAAACCAAATTCTTAGGTTTTACATATTAGTATACTCTTACAATGCAGTTTTTGTATTTTGTCTCAGAAATGAGATCTTTTCCCGCGATAAAAAGTATCCTATATGTTGACCCGGCTAACCAGCTATCACCATACCAAATTTCATCAAAATCCCTCCAGTGGTTTTTCTGTGATGCGGTAACAGAAAGACAGACAGACAAAAATTATAAAAACTATAGATTCGGCCTCTGCATCGACAATAATGTCTATTTGAATAAGATTTTCCAAAAACTATTTAATGTACAGATTCGACTTTGCTAGAATTTAATTATACGTATAGATATAGGTATATTATCGTTTCAAAGAATAAAATAACATTAACATTGACAATTTATAGGTCTGTAAAATTTAGAATATTCTAAATATTCAGCAGCTATATAAATACTGCACGTTATATCCCTAAAAAGAAGACAGATAATACAGATATTTGCCTTCTGTTGAAGTCTGAACAAAATAGGCAATAATAAACTCTACATATACAAAATTTGTTCTTATATGTCTGTAACGTTACATCTGCTCTTCTGTCTGTACGTATATGATGTACACTCGAAAACTACTACGAATTTTTATTATTATGATATATATACATATATATTTCTCTAGAAAGAATAATATGGTATATACAAAATATTTCCCCATCGATTTTAACGGAAATGCTAAATTTCAACTTAAAGCACTGTAGTGCCATCTCGTGACAAGTAACAGTTATACCCGCAACCTCTAAAGTCGTTTCCCAACTGTCTTAAGGAAGTAATTATGACAGTCGAGTGCGCCTCACCAGCGTTTCATTTCTGGAGAACTGTTGTATTCATAGACTATGATACTACAATATTTTTTTGGTTATAGCTAAAGAAAATTATAGAATGTCAGCTTTCGTAATATCACTTACAGATTTGTAATTTGGCATACGCATACCAAATTAAATTAAGTTTATTAAATAATTAATTAATGGAAAAAAACGGCGAAGGAAAACATCGTGAGGAAACCTGCATGTCTGAGAGAACCTAGCAAGTTTTCGAAAGACATGTAACTATGACATGACCAACCCGCACTTGGCCAGTGTTGTGGACTATGGCCTGATTCCCTCGTATTGAAGGGAGGCTCGTGCCCAGCAGTGGGACGTTAAAAAGGGCTTAATACATACATACAATACAATATTTTTCAATACTAAGAAAACTGTAAATAATCAATCTTATACATATTTCAGCAACAGCTAGCCAACATTTTCGAGAAAGCAAACTTATAGGTGGACATGAATCCAAGCCTTACAGCCACCCTTACCTCGTATCTCTACAACTTAGGTTCCTATGGATCCGTACACATGTGTGTGGTGGTAGTATAATAAACGAGAACTGGGTACGTTATTATTAACAAAATACATTTTAACACAAACTTATTAATTACTAGCATTGCCCGCGGCTTCGCCCACGTTCAGATGACCAAAAAGCAAATTCTTAGGTTTTACATATTAGTATACTCTTACAATGCACTTTTGGTATTTTTACTGTAAAAAAATGCTTTAGTGTCAAAGTTAAAATAGGGTTTCAAAAAATATTCTCTTATTTCCAAAAAGTACTATTATATTTATTTAACGAATTCTACTTTTTAGGTTTTAACAGCTGCACATTGCGTTAAAGAATCATTTTTATTAAGATGGCTTCCCATTGATGCAGTCGCTGGAACACACAACGTTAATTACTTTGGACCAAAAGTTCAAATAAACGCTGTGGATAAGCGTATAGTACATCCACTCTATGCTGGGTAAAAAAAATATATTTTATTAGAAATATTTATTAGAAATACCAATAAATCCATTCAGTCCATATAGTTTGTCGAGAAACAGTAGGCAATACTCAACAATACATAATCAACAAAAGTGCAGTTGGGCTGTTTAATTTTTTTTATTTTTAGTGTCATCTAGTAATTTCACTTAAGTAACTTAACTCAAACAAAAATTATACATCAATATATACATATTTATATCACCAGCATATGTATAAATAAGTTGGAAAAATATAAGAGAAAAGAAAATTGATAAAGTTGAAATTATAAATGACAAGTAAAATAAATTTGTAGGATTTAGAAGTATGGCTACTTAGTGTAAGAACGCCGAGGTGAATTAAAAGCATAATATTCATTTCAGCGGAATAGGTCCACACGATATTGCAATTTTAAGAATGGTCAAACCTTTCTCATTTACTGATGAGATAATGCCTATACACCTCCCTTATAATTACGATGTCAGCAATGATTCTATGACTTTAGCCGGATGGGGTGCCTTGCGTACAACTTACTTCTTGCCAGACCTTCCGAGCAGATTGCAAGAAGTACAAGTTATTTACGTTCCATATGAAAGTAAGAATATAGTTTGATATATTATAGTACATATATTTACTTTGGTATATTATATACTTTGATATATTATAGTATACATAGCGAAGGGCGAACTTTTAGCAGAGGTAAGCCGTTCCAAAAATATACATTTTTTATATAAGTACGTATTAATGCAGAAAGAAATAAAGCTATTATTTTATATATATTTCTAAAAGAACATTTATACATTTAAAAAAAAATTAAGTGTATGTAAAATTATAGCAAAATAATTTTAAGGTAAGACGTTTTGTATAGACCCTTCGCCACTGTAGTCTACTCTATGCGTTATTTCAGGAATAGTCTATCTGTGCACATTCTAATCTGTTCAGCCATTTTAACCGCAATCATAGACATACACCTAACTAACATTGGCATTTATAATAATAGTCCGAAATGAACGTTGAACGTTGGGGTCGATGTAAGTGTCCCCCGAGTGTTCAACACAAGCTGATTAATTTTCTTTTTTGATGGAACACTGCTGTATATATCATTTTATGTTTATTGACCGACTTCCAAAAAGGAGGAGGTTCTAAATTTAGTTATTTAGACGTATATTTTTATAGGTGTTCGGACATACCTTTTTTGTTTATGAATTAATAATAGAGCGCAGAAACGGAAAAAAAACAACAAGAGGCTTTCTTTAAAAGTAAAGTACATAAATAATATTACTGAATTGATTATCACTCGCTCTTCAAATCTAAATTTCGATTCTTCAAAGAGGCTAAGGTGGTTTTAAAAATAGTTTTATTTAATAAACCGATGTATGTATACCAATCTGTTACATATTTCAGAATGTTTCAATGCCATTGAAGAATTACAAGATAGTGATGAAAGCAATACTCTAGACAAAGATTCGAATATTTGTACAGGGCCCCTTTCAGGGGGAGTAGCCGCATGCAGCGGAGACTCTGGAGGGCCTCTCATACAATTTGTACCTAGAAATGTATATAATCGTGCACCAGGTGACGAGAATATTGATGAATACGACGCGTATTATAATGAAGAAAGAAGTACTAGTAATAAAATGCTAAATTTAGATGAGGACGACGAAAAACTGCCTGTTTTGCTTGGCATTGTGTCTTGGGGGATGGCTCCTTGTGGATATAAAGGGGCACCAACTGTATATACAAAAGTGTCCCATTATATTGACTTCATTCAAGAATATTCAAAGCCATGATTTTCTTATTGTAATTTATTATGAAATAAATTAACTTACACTTATTTATGTATTTACAAACTTAATCTAAAATGTGAGTATTTTTTCTTGTTACAGTCAGTTCACATAATATATATATATATATATATATATATATATATATATATATATATATATATATATATGTGTATATTTATATATATATATATATATATATATGTATATATATATCCTTAGTCAATTGGACCCAGTTATGCAAAAAAAAAAAGCATTTGTGTAAAAGTACCAACAGAGTTATAAGCATTTTTCTGTCGATAGTTGCACTTGGGTTATGTTTTGTTTTTCTAGTTATTTTAAAATTGAACAATATTTATATATGTATTGTTTATTTTTTATAATTATTTTTTTTTTATAATAAAATACTTATAACTCTGTTGGTACTTTTACACACATGGCTGTTTTTTGCATAACTGGGTCCAATTTGTATTGAGTACGCTATCATATAAATTATTCAGATCTTTAATTTAAAACATTGAATTGTTATTATATCTTAAACCATAATGATCACAAATTTAATTTAAAATATAGTGAATTAGACATTTTTCACCTTAAATATAATAGTTAGGTATAAGAAAAATATTGTAAAACTTAATTTATAACCGGAAGTTTTGCTATAGGTTGTATGCATAATATTACTTTCAACTGCATAAGTACTTAATGTTTAATTATAAATGGTAACATTCAATTATTTTTATATTCTAAATTTTTATATATCGTACTGTGGTGGCAAGCTTTTACAATGTATTGGATATCTGTGGAAACTTGATTGGTTTTAGGATTATTTTTATGTGTTTATAATGTAATAATTTATTGTGCTGTTTATTTCCCTTGAAAAGATAATAAATAAATAAATATCATTTTCTTCGTTATTACGAGGTATAAGCAGATTCAAGTGCATAGCAAATTCAATATTTAGATAATGTTTAGTTTTATAAATGTAAACATCAATGAAATTAGATAATAAAGATAATAGAACTGTTACTATTATTATAAACTATAGTTGTTACTTCAGAAAACAGCCACTAGGGAAATCTAATCAATGGAAATCTAATACTAGTAGCCGTAGGTGGCCATGAGATGAAAAATGAACTCTCTGCCGAGGTTTTCCCAGAGGGCTACAGTATGGGGTCCTTCAAAAGGGGAGTAAATAGGTTTTTAAAGGGTCGGCAACGCGCATGTGATGCCCCAGGTGTTGCAGGCGTCCATAGGCTGCGGTAACCGCTTACCATCAGGCGGGCCACATGCCTGATTGCCACCGACGTGGTATAAAAAAAAAAAAGATTAGAGTAACTGCACTCCGACCATCTCTTGCTCATATTGGACTTGGACGACCATCCAAAAATATTGTTCATAAGTTCAAAATTAAAATGTTTCAAACACTTAATTTTAAATCGATGTTTTCAAAACTTCTAAACTGATTTGGCAGCAGAAGTCACAAGAATCTTACTTACTGGCAAGAGTGTCAGCTAAATGACAATTCTATCGATAACGACAGTGTCGATAGTTATAAAACTAGTTCAGTAAAACATCTGCTGGTCTGTAACTACCGCAACTTGGTAACTTATCAATAACTTTCTTAGGTATAGATAAAGGAACGCTTATGAGTATCGCAGCCGGCATAGAGAGGGAACAGGACCGGCATTCTAGTAGCCAGCTCCCGCCCGACGATGCTGATAGTCGAACTATGGTGATTCCTTTGTTTGGAACTATTATTGTGTCTTTTATTGGAGGATTTTTCTCATTTCTGTAATAAAAATAAATAATAAAAATTTATAAATAGCATTCTGGTACACTATAGTTAGATTGCGTCTCCACTACGTCCACTTTGCAGGAACTTTTCTCAAAAAAATATTTTCTTATTATTACCATGAAATTAAATTTTACTTTTTTAATTGAGGTTTGTTCTAACGCAATCTCATATATTACGCTATAATAAAATTGTACTAACTATTTTCTATATTATACAATACTTTGAGATAATAAAATAATCAAGTGTAGCTAATGAACCGGAGACTGGGAATCAATGTTTCTTTTAGTAGACTTTAGAATAATGCGCACTAAGTAATGGTTACCATACAATTTCCTAACACGACCGGGTCAAACATAAATATAATAATTTCTTTAAGATTTCCAGCGCTATTTAGCCTCCCCTCGATTCCATGGGCGATTAAGCCATAATCCACCAAATGGTAAATGCGAGTCCCCATAAATAAATTTACAATGTAATTCAGACATTAATGTATCAGAAGTTAAAAATGCTGAAACCCACTTCTTTTGCTTTCAAAAGTGAGAGCGTTGCGAATGTTTTATGAATACACTAGCATTGCCAGCGGCTCCGCCCGCGTTCAGATGACGAAAAACCAAATTCTTAGGTGTTTCATATTAGTATACTCTTACATTGCAGTCTTTGTATTTTTTCTCAGAAATGAGACATTTTCCCGCGATAAAAAGTATCCTATATGTTGACCCGGATAACCAGCTATTATAATACCTAATTTCATCAAAATCTGTCCAGTGGTTTTCTCGTGATGCGGTAACAGACAAACAGACAGACAGACAAAACTTCTAAAAACTATAGATTCGGCCTCTGTATCGATAATAATGTCTATTTCAATAAGATTTTCCAAAAAATATTTAATGTACAGATTTGGCTTAGTTACAATTTTATTATATGTATAGATTAAATAAAAATATTACAAATTGACACTTCCCGATATCAAGCCAATATTTAACACCAGGTTCACGCCCTCGGTGCTCTACAAAGATATTGATTTAAAAACTGTAAGATTTTATAGTTAACAGCTTTACTTTTTATAAGATGAAAAATATTACCTTGTAATTAAGCCTCTTGAAAGAAGTGTACGAACATCTTTCCTCAAAATAGGTGTGGGTTCTGGACTTTTCCAAGTAGCTAAAACTTGCATGGTGTATCCGTGCATGTGGAACGTATACGAGTCGTTACTGCCTCTTCCTGAAACGTGATAATACGCATGATTCATCACGTAAGTTTCAAAAAAAACTAAATCGTTAAATAATATAAATAGCAATATTCAGTGATAGAGATTATTATTTGATAGATATTTGAAATAATTATAAATTAAAACTTTAAATAACCCCCTACGCAAATGAATTGCCATTTAACGATTACACTGGCACGCGAGAAGCACTTAATCGAGTAATCATACGCTACAATGCCTTACATCATTTTGGAAAAGAGCTGATACTCTTACACTGCTGTACCGATATTAACCAAACATAGAACCACCGCAAGGGAACTGGGCTTCAAATGAAAAAAACCGCATCGAAATCGGCCCATCCGTTTGAGAGCTACGATGCCACAGACAGACACACACACAGAGACAGACAGACATCGACGTCACACTTATAACACCCCTCTTTTTGCGTCGGGGGTTAAAAATATCTATGAAATACTGGGGTAGTATATAATGTACATTATTTTGCAGCCTTCAAGAGATTTAGTTACGTTATATATAAAATCGGAAAAATACGAGTCTGACTCGTGAAATTCATTATGTTATTGCATAGTACATTTTCCTTATTTAGACTGCAAAAATAAAAATGTATTACGGCCGTACACGTTTCTTGTGGTGCCGAAAAAACCTCATATCCCAAAAATATCTTCATCTTCCTTTATCAAATCTTCTTCAAAATAATTTTTGTTTCGTTAACCTTATCTCAATATTTTCAGATTTGTTCAGTATTTTTACTTCATAAGTTAGGTAGAGAACTGCCTTTATAAGAATTTACTCATCTTAGAAATACCAATTTTAAAGACCTATCCAGATTTATGATCCATCCAGATATAAACGTGTGGGACATTTAAGTACACAATTTCTTTTTACCCCTCAGTTGCATGTATGGATGACCACTGCTATTTTTTATATATTCGTAAATTGAATGCAAAATTATCGAGCTATTTATCTAGCCTAGTCTCCAAGTGAGGATTTTATTTTTGCCTATAGTATAAGCGATAGAACCCTAAAAAATTTATATATACTATATAATTATATAATTCGTAAGCCAAAGAACTGTTATATTTTGTTTGTCTCATCGTCTGTAACAGCTAATATCCGGAAAGGCTGAAGATTTTTTAACAGCTTTCACTGGCAAGTTAAAGCATTGTGACGATAATAATAATATGAACTACAAACTTTTACATCCCAGAATTAATAAAATGGTTTCCGATGAATAAAAAATGATTTTTTATAAGTAAAAAAACCACAAAATGAATTAAAAAGAAATCTCTTATATGCAAATATTCAAAAGTAGCACCTTCATTAACTAAAACCAACTCTATAACATCATTGGCTTGAGCTTTCAAAATTTGTAAGCATTGGGGCTCTTTATGCATATTTTCTTCTCCCACATTGCATACAGCTTCCTGTCGTATTTCACGTGGTTTTAATAAAAATGGTGCACTCGGGTACAAGAAGTTTTTATCATTTATCTGCACTACTCCTTTTTCGGATGCTGGAAAAATTATATTTGTCGATTTAGTTTACTTAGTTTAGTAAGTATTTTATTTTATATTTTTGTATTTTACAAAACGATAGATAATAATCCATCTGTTAAATATTTATTTATATTTTACATTATAAAAACAAAAAAAATATTTTATTTAAGTAAGCCTGTAAATTAAAACTGAATCTATAAAGCCTTTATTTGTGTTCTTTTTTATATTCGTGTATAACTTTAAGAATCCGGCAAAAGAAATGTAAATTGTTTTTTTTTATATATTGCCAAATACTTACATAATGCTGCTGGGAAGAATGGTTTTTTTGGCATAGCGTCACTTAAGTAGCGAAAATCGATATCACCGTCGTTCAGTTTTGGGTAAGCTTTATCTATGTCCAAATAAAAAGATTTTATATTACCAGCCAGCGGTACATCTTTAAAAGATTGTAATTGCTGGCCAGAAATAATATCTTTAGCATCGAATTCAAAATTCATATCAATGTCCTGAAAAAAAATATATATGTATAGGTACTTATAATAATTCCTAAAAGATTGTTGTTTTTGTTTATTTTCTATTTGTTTTAATACCATTATCTCTGGAAGAACAGATCAAATTTGAAAAATTATCTTTGCATTCTGTAACCTATTGTGATTGAGGAAGATTATTCTTATATCTAATATCTCATTACGGCCTTAGGAGCAAATAACATTAATAAACTAGGCAGACGAAGCCACAGTTACAGTCGACTTATTTTAAAATTTAAGCTATCTATAAGTAAAGACAAAATAATTCAATATATTTTTCTCCTCTGTTTGTTATCACATTTTCATTTTTTTTGTTTTTTTTTAGTGTTATCAATAAAAAAAATGAAAACAGTTAGTTTTTTTATAGCCATAGGTTAAATATATTCATACATATATTTTTTTCCTCGAATTTTTAATAATGATTGGTTCCAATTTTGACCACTGGACGAATACTAGTATATATCATCATCTATATTTAATTCTGCACATAATTTTATTTATTTTCTAAAAATGGCTAAATATTCCAACTAACATGGACTATACATTTTGTATATAATAAGAGCTTTACCAAGTTAGATTACATATTCACTACTCTATTATTGCTGTAATAAAATAATCGTTATTTATTTAATGAAAAATAACATTTTACCGGTCCCTGTTCCATCATAGATGTATAATTAAATCCTGAGTACAAAAGCATGGCGTGTGCTGTCCTGCCTTCACACGAACCCTCACCAGAGACTCGAACCCAGTGCCCACCACTCTGTTGATTCATTCTAATGACCACGTCCATTCGCTCGCCTGAAGTAATGAAATATTACCATAAATTATTAACTTGAAGTGAGAGTCAAAAGGTAATAATATTCGAGTGTGAATGTTTATGGCTCAGTTTCCTGTTATTTTTGCGGTCATTTTCGAAAGTAAACGCAATTTAAAAAAAAATCGTCTATAGAATTGCATACGGTTTTAAAACTTATGCAATCTAAATCTATTTAAATGAAAAGGTGAAATGTTAATAAATGTATAAAAAGTTGAATTGCACGAAGTCGCTAATATCCGAAAGTCGATAACTTCCGGTTTTGGACTTACACATACAATATACATATAAGTTTTATACATAAAGTTCGTACGTCATACTTTTGCTATAACTCACCTCTAGATGGCGCTGTATCGCATGAACTTCTAGACTTTCAACCATTCGCCATAGGTAATAAATAAATAAATATTTTGGGACATTAACACAGCACCATCTAGTTCCATGGTAAGCTACGAAACTTGTGTTATGGATACCAGATAGTTGATACACTACACATATATAACTTTAAATACATACATATTATAACTATAAACACCCTGGGCAAAGACGCAACTGGATGCGACTGAAGTGCAAACACACACAACACACTAATCAATGCAGCGGGACTCGAACCCGTAACCGCTATCACAGCAAGTAGGGTTACTACAAACTGAGCCAAACGTGTATAAGTCAACGTCCATAAATAATATTTTCGCGCCATCTATTTATTTACGCAGGCAAATCCGCGGGCAAATAGCAGTTAAATGAATAAAATTTCTTATATATAATATTTTTTAAAGAAAATTTTCTAACAAGACACGTATTTTTCTTAACAGCTGCTATTTTATTTACATTAGTTGTCTCTACGTATAAAGATGTTGACACAACATATTTCGTAATTCATTCAATGGATTGATCATTGAGGAAATGCTCACCCTAATAATGCATTGCACATAGAAATCCATGCAAGCTATTTATTTTTTTCTCAACAGAAGCAAATCACTATAGCAATAAATTGTTACATATTATGTACTTTCTTATTGTATTTACATTGTATCTATTTTCTATTTTTATTCACATTCATTTTCACTTTCATTCTCCCAAAAAGCTCAATAATTTTAACAAGAGCTAGTAGATTCGATTTCTGCTCGGAAAAAATATCAATCTATATATATAATAAAATTGTAACTAAGTCGAATCTGTACATTAAATATTTTTTGGAAAATCTAATTGAAATAGACATTATTATCAATACAGAGCCCGAATCTATAGTTTTTAGAATTTTTGTCTATTTGTCTGTCTGTTACCGCATCACGAGAAAACCACTGGACAGATTTTGATGAAATTTAGTACGATGATAGTTGGTTATCCGGGCCAACATATAGGATAATTTTTAGGGCGGGAAAATATCCATTTCTGAGGAAAAATACACAAACTGAATTGTAAGAGTATAATAATATGTAAAATCTAAGAATTTGATTTTTGGTCATCTGACGCGGGCGGAGCCGCGGTCAGTGCTAGTAATTAATAAATATGTGATGTAAGACACTAGACACAGAATTAAAATTAATGAGTGTCATCTCAATCTACATAGTATATGTAAATTCAATATTTTAAGTTTTGAATAATTAATAAGCAACCTTTTTAATATTCGGCTGGGAACACTGATATCATCATAAAATGATATTTTTTTATCATCTATAACTACATTATATATAGTAAAATAGTAACAAAGCGAAATCTGTACATTAAATATTTTTAAAAACCATTAATGTTATGTATTTTATATAGAGTGATATAGATCCCAAATATTTATTACACAAAGTTATTAATAGTAGTGTCAATAATTAACATATTTAACAATTTAGTGCGGTAAAGTCTCTCGTTTTCATGAGAAAATGGCAAGTTTAGTTTAAGCGCAAAATCGCTGTCTGCCTCTGTATGTTTGTCCGTTTACTTCTTCTAACCACATAACAAAATTTGATAGTTTTTACTAATAGAAAAACTGTTTTCATAGCTGGCTAAACCTTAAGAGATACATCTAAACAATGTACTAGAAAATTATAAGTCTTAAAAAGAACTACAGAAAAGTCCAGAATAGAATCTGTATCCTCAGGTACACTCAAAATAATTCGTTGCGGTTACACGCAACCGAGCAATACGAGGCTAAGTCTAATACATACGTACTAAAACTTATTTTATACTAGCGGCTCACTCGCTTCCCTCGGGTTCGCCTCTAGACAGACAAAAAAAATCTATCCCACGGGAACCGTACATTTTTCCGAAAGAAAAAGTAGGCTTTATATTATTAAAATCCCTACAGTAGTTTTTACGTGAAAGAGTAACAAACATCCATACATCAAAACAACCTTACAAACTTTCGCATTTATATTTATAATATTATTAAGATTCACAAGCTTCAATAAAAGTACCTAAAATACAAAAAAAAGAATGCAGAAAGCAAGAAAAAAATGCATTCATTGCATTTTCATCGTAGTATTATATATACCGACCAAGACCGGCAATTGAAGAAAGTGAAAACAAACAGCGAACGGTTTGTTGACCTTAAACTCTGAAACCAGACAGACCTTTCTCCTCTCACTCGAGTTGATAGTGAAAATACTGTGGTTAGAACGCTCTATATAATTATGAATTATATAGCGAAAGATTAAATCTTAAAGAAAGTCTCGAACAGATCGTCATCATAAAAATTTAAAATAATTTATATAATATAAGCAGTTCAGTGAACTCAGTTATATTTTTGACTTGTAGATATGTAACCAAATCTTGTAAATCGAATTTAATGTATGTACTGAAGATTTGAAACCGCGTATATGAAACTTGGATGGCAATACGATAATTTGATACCGTCAAGCTGATCTGATGATTGATAATGGAAGGAAGTGGATAATAGAAATCTTCAATCTTCCTTTGAGTTTAGGCACATAGAATTTATTTTGACGAATCCCATTTAGTCTTAGACAAGAGTCTAAGAGATAGAGATAGTAGTATTATTTAATAGGTACTAAAAAATCTTTAGAATATAGGCATATTTGATTTATTTTAACGAATCCCATGTAAAGAAGGGTATCAAATGAAAGTGCACTATTCTCAGGAAAAATATTTGTACTCAATAAGATATTACAGTTAATTTACGAAATTGGAGATTCCTCTCGTCTTAACTATCTCCAAAACTTATAAATAAAATAATAAATTCTCTAATAAACTCATCGCTAAGTCAAGTTAAAATTTTGTTAAAGAATCTGATAATAGACCCGAGGGGAGGGGGGGAGGTGGACTGAGACATTTCAGTAGCTACCGGTAACCCCTGGAACGGCTAACCAATAATTCCACTTAACAAATATATACATAGATATAATTCTTCTGTACATGTGTTTGTTAACCTACTCCTCCTAAAGGACGGGACCGATTTGTATGAAATTTTTGTGTGTATATCTCAATGGGTTCCTGGATGGTTTGAAAATACAAATAGACCCAGTAGGTGGCGCTGCAGTCGGTGTGCCACTGGTCATCTTCAAACGGCAGGGATGATTTTAATGATATTTTTTGTGTATGTTCGTGTAGGTCCCTGCAAGGTTCGAATTCACAAATGGATCCGGTAGGTGGCGCTGCCGCCGGTGTGTCACTAAATTTTAATAAAATACTCCATTTTCCGAGCAATACATAAATTTAAATTGTTGATTAAATAAAATGAAAATCGATGTGTGTATATATTTTTCCTATGGACTCCAAAACGGCTGGAGCGATTTTGATGAAATTTTCATGTAATCTTCAGATTAGCCCAGATCGGAAGTTTGGACGCGGGCGAAGCCGCGGCTACTGCTGGTGTATGTATATATTTGTACGAACGTATTAATATATTGCTTTTCACTTTAGCAACATCAAACCAAAAAAAATATCTTGTGGTACATAACAAAATGCTGTCATGCAAAGGTTCTAAATAAGTAAAACGATTACCTAAAAAACTCCATTTAATAGAATAGAAAGTTAAATACGTAGTTATTATTATAAATATAAACACCCATAACTGGAGTACAAACATTCGTGCTCATCATACAAATGAATGCCCCCAGCGGGACTCGAACATTTTATAAATTTACTAGCATTGCCCGCGGCTCCGCCCGCGTTTAGATTACCAAAAACCAAATTTTTAGGTTTTACATATTAGTATACTCTTACATTGCAGTTTTTGTATCTTTTCTCAGAAATGAGATATTTTCTCGCGGTAAAAAGTATCCTATATGTTGACCCGGATAACCAGCTATCACCAAACCAAATTTCACCAAAATCCCTCCAGTGGTTTTTCTGTGATGCGGTAACAGACAGACAGACAAAAATTCAAAAAACTATAGATTCGGCCTCTGTATCGATAATAATGTCTATTTCAATAAGATTTTCCAGAAAATATTTAATGTACAGATTCGACTTAGTTACAATTTTATTATATGTATAGATGTATTTTTAAGTATCCTCCTAGTACTTACTATAACGAGTCAACGACAGTGATTAATTCTAAGTATATCAGAAGAAAAGAAGATAGTTGAAGCAAACTGGCTCATTATATAACACAGTTTAAGTCATAAATCATTACTTTTATTGCGAGATAATTATATTTCTTACAATGTCTTAATTTAAATTACATAGACACTTTAATTTACCTCTTCGATAATATATAATATATAAATTTATTACTATCGAAAACATTTATTACCATATTTTTAATTATTTATTAAAAAATATATTTTATTTTATTTTATCTTGTCTATGTCATACGTGTGTTTTTTTTCTTTTTTAGTAACCATTTTTTAGTGTAATGTCATTTTAAATAGCTTTCGTATTCAAAGAATGAAAAAACAAAAAACTGTCTGTCTGTTACCGCATAACAGAAAAACCACTGGAGGGATTTTGATGAAATTTTGTATGATGATAGCTGGTTATCCGGGTCAACATATAGGATACTTTTTACCGCGCGAAAATATCTCATTTCTGTGAAAAAATGCAATAACTGCAATGTAAGAGTATACTAATCTGTTAAACCTAAGAATTTTGCTTTTGATCATCTGAACGCGAGCGGAGCCGCGGGCAATGCTAGTAGTATTATAAATGTGAAAGTTTATAAGTATGGATGTTTGTTACTCTTTCACAGCTGAACGGATCTGGATGAAATTTGGTACAGAGATAGATTATAGTTTGGATTAACACATAGGCTACTTTTTATCCCAGAAAAATGTAGGGTTCCCGTGGAATAGGTTTGTTTTTTTTCCTACAGGCGAATCCGAGCGAAGCAAGGGCGAGCCTCTAGTAGTTTCATAAAGTATTAATTATATTCAAAATTTCTCTAGTTAAGTTATGCAGCCTTAAAAATTAAAATTACACCGAAAACAGAACAATTCAGTATATTCGTAGCGCTTATATTATTGTCATGGAATATAGATTGCCGATAAGAAAACTTTCGTTTTCAAACTACACGCAACATTAGTTAATGACCAGTTAAGTTTCTCATATAAAAACGATTAAAATAAAGGTTAGGTACATACCTGGATAAATTTTAACAGCTGTAGTTGTAACTGGTCGTACAGGTTTACCGTCCGTCGCTATGACAGTTATAAGGTGGTTATGGGCTTGTATTTCCAAAGGGCATTCTATTGCAATAGCATTAATTAAACGCAATCTATATGCGTATCCTGGCAGAACGAATAACCTGTAACGATTACCTGTTATTATATTATATTCTTGTGACTTATACTATTATATGAGGTGAAATATATTTGATTGTAAATTCTTTTAAAATCAGACCGATATGAGTATCCATATCCTACTAATATAATTTTACGCAAAAACTAGCGAATTGATGTTAATGAAACTTTACAAAAATATAGCTCATAAATCGGAATAATACATAGGCTATTTTTTATTCCAGAAAAATGTACGGTCTTCGTGGGTTAGATTTGTTTATGTTTTTCTAGAGACGAAACCGAGTAAAGCGAGTGTGAGCCGCTAGTAATTAATACAAACATTTACCTCATACCGCAATCGAATCCACGATCTCGGTTATAATAAAACACAACACACAAACATTGTTATTTTACTTAAATACTTACTTAGTGTTCGAATTATCTCCATTCACTAAAAGGCTATTGGGTTTAATTTGACTAACGTCTTCTAATTTGGCTGTTAGCAGTTCTTGAAATTTAACTCCTATAATCATCGTGTGCTCGTCTTTTCTATCATAATCATACAACGACGCATGAGGCTCTATTGGCTGAGGTTGGTCTACCACCAGAGTACCGTACACGCCGTCACTCTGATGAATCACTGTAACGCACGTAACTGTTATAAGTCACATTCAAAATATTACAATAAAACATGCTTTGTGAGCTGTTTTTTTGCACGAACTATAATTTAATTACAAAATATAATCAGCAACTTCTTATTGTTCATTGATGATCATATTATATTGTTTTAAAACTTAGAAATAATAAGTAATTAAAAATATGATTGTCACTTATGAATATCAGAGAATGACGACTCTAGTGATAGATCGACAATTATTTTGATTATTAATTTAAGTTATCAGGTTTTTTTATTAGCATTTTATTATGATATAAACAGTTGAAAGCAAGTAGTGTTTCTGATTGTATTGATTACCTGAATCAGCATGATAGAAGAAAGTTCCGGGAGATGAGGCAATAAAAGCATATTCGTAAGTAGATCCATATGAAATAGGGCACTGTGTAACCATTGGTACGCCATCCATGTATGGTGTTCCTTTTTGTTCGATACCATGCCAATGCATGGTCAAATCTTGATTTGGAATTTTGTTTTTTACTTTGACAATTACTATGTCGTGTAAACAGACGTGTATAGCGGGTCCAGGAGTCAAACCGTTTATAGTCAAGGCCGGTTTTTCATCTTCCTCAAAAGATGGACCAATCTCGAAATTGTAGCGGCACTGTCGAGGTTTGACGTTAAATTTGCAAGGCCGATTACATGATTTATCTAAAACATACTTTGTGTTGAGAAATATCCTCTGTAGTACCTACTACAAAACAAATTAAATTAAATGTAAATAAAAGCATTAAATGTGAATCGATTTGAGAGTCGTCTCGTCTCAACTTGTCCATTAAGATATTTAAAGTAAACTTTTAAATTAATTTTGTTTATTTATTCTATAAATATGATCATCTTTATGTCATCTGTTAATTTACTATTAAAATTCCAAGATCTCTATAAATACAACAGAAGAAAATAATAACCCGAATATATGCTTGAAGCCCTCTCCAATTTCAAATTAGTGGTACTCCTAGGTTTATTCTGATATCTTATTTTTTACAATAGAATATAAAATATTCTACAAAAATTCTAAGTCATTTTCCGTTTCGTCTATGTATATAGTAAAATCGTAACTAAGCCGAATCTGTACATTAAATATTTTTTGGAAAATCTTATTGAAATAGACGTTGTTATCGATACAGAGGCCGAATCTATAGTTTTTAGAATTTTTGTCTGTCTGTTTGTCTGTGACCGCATCACGGAAAAACCACTGGAGGGATTTTGATGCAATTTGTACATACAACATATAGTAGTACATGCTTTTTACTACGGCAAAATATCTCATCTCTGAGAAATCTATACTATACGTTAAAAAATAAATAGGGACGAACCCGGGCGGAGCGAGGGTGAGTCGATAGTAAACTATCCAATCATCTACTTCTACCATTACTGAATGTAAGAAAAACAAACCAACAAGTTCACTTTGGTGTTCACAATATGAGACCTATTTCTATAAAATATATGAAAAGTTATGCAAAAAATAATTAAAAATGACTTTTTTAAATAAAACTATCTTTTCGGATTATTTCGCGGATATATTTTGATTTTTGGTTCCCGACGTTTCGAATGCTTTACAGCATCCATGGTCACGGGAGAGACTGAGGTGTTACATGTCTTGAATGTATAGTTGTTACAGACAGCCTACCCACAATTAACAAAATGAAAATGGCACCAATTACATTACAATATTTTTAAAGCATTCGAAACGTCGGGAACCAAAAATCAAAATAAATCCGCGAAATAATCCGAAAAGATAGTTTTATTTAAAAATGTCAAACATTCGCGTAAATCTAAGAAAGTATTAAAATGACTTACCAGAACTTTTCGTTGTATCAGTTAAAAGTAAATTATCTTTACTTGGTAAAAAGCTTTCCAAAGATGCTTTACCATTATTACTAGAATTAGCAATAATATATATACATAAAATTAGAAACCTCATTTTTATAACTCCCAAAAACCAATATAATTAAGTCACAAATATCTTTTAATATCTCTATATATCTGATATCTATATATAAAAATATCTTCGTAAAAATATATTTTAACACTAATATGATCCGCTTTGTATGGGCTTTCGAGCAAAACTGACAGAGCAAGTCGAACTGGGAAGGAACTTCAACGAAAGTGGATTCGCCTCTACATTCAAGCTTGTTATATAAATATCAACTTTACTTCTTATAAAATAAGCTTGCTATTTAAATAAAGCTTAGTTTAATAACAATAGTTTTAAGATATATCTCTACAAGTGTGTTCTCATATTAAATGTTAAAATTAATATTAAAATATTACCACGGTAATGTATATGTAATATTACCATAATATTACTTTAGTTTGCTTTTCAAGATACAATGAGCTATATATTATATCTCAAGAATATTTTTACTATAATATGTACAGTATTTTAAAAACAACACATACTTTATTATTAAACTAAGATATTGTTAAATTAGTTCTAAGCAAAATATATATATATTTACATTTAAAATTTTGGAATCGGTCAATAAAGATGGTAAATTATACCAGCCTTTATTGAAGTTATATTCCTTATTCATCGTATAAATTATGAGAGTAGAATTTTTACGATGCGCGCGCACACCGACAGCCAAAAAGCGACATAATGAATTTACCTGAAAGCGACTCATGAAGTTAGCTGCATTCCTTTTACGAACAGAGAGTTGTGACATACGGGATGAAATCTTTAGCTATTTTTGTTTTGTTACGTCAAAGAAGTATAACTTCTTTCGTGCGTACATCAATACAGACACACGTTTTTTTATTACTAATCATGACTACATAATCCTTGAGCACATAAAAAACAATTTTCTCAATTCGATTCTTAATCACCGGAATCGCTAAAAGGATTTTAATGAAACTTTCACTGACAGATTCAGGCAAACTTGAACTTCAATGAAAGTGAAGTTCCCTTTATATATAAAATAGAAATAAATATCGACCATAACTCTATAAGACTAAGATTGTTATTTAAGTAAGTTCTTAGCTTTTGAACATGTCTCGAACTAGAGACATGTTCAAAAACAAATTAGTATTATTATACATTTTTGGTACCATTTCCAACCAAATATGTCACGAGATCATCATATATCTCAAACATACAATATTATTTTAGTAGTAATTTTTATTATAATTTCTGTATTAAAATAGCCTCAATAAATTTATTTATTATTATTATTAAAATGTAAAAGAATAAGGTTTTTTTTAAGATAACATAAGAACGGCCCAACTAATTTTAATGGAACTTTTTCAAGTGTAATTAACATGGAATGACATTTGAAATGACATGACATCGCGGTTGAAAATATGTAGATATCAATAAAATACTTGTTTCCTTTCTAAATTGCGTACTATTTCAATCGTTGTGCTCTAATTCATTCGACAAGTATTCCCTATTGGCCTGAATACACTCGATACTGTTGCGTTATGGAAATGGAAATTATGATGGTTGTCGCACCTTACATAAATAAATAAATAAATATGTTGGGATATTACAGACAGCACCATCTAGTTCCATGGTAAGCTACGAGGCTTGTGTTATGGATACCAGATAGTCGATACACTACATATATATGACTTTAAATACACAAGTATTATAAATATAAACACCCATGACTGGAGTACAAACATTCGTGCTACACAAATGAATGCCCTCAGAAGGACTCGAACCCGCGACCGCTGGCACAGCAAGTAGGGTTACTACACACTGAGCCAAACGTGTCGTCAATTCCTGTAAAGGATATTCTTATATTTTAGTGGAAATCTTTCTGTATCGATGTTTGAAAGTGAAAAAATCAGGATATGCTTTAACGTTAACACTTACATATGTATGTTTGTACATTCGAATATATGTATGTCTGCACTCTATTGTCCACTCTCAGACTAAAGAACTACATAGATGGAGTCCGCCAAAATAAAAGTCTAATGGCCGATTTCACCAACGGTACCTAAGTTTGAGGGATCCCCTAAGCATGGTTAGGGGGCTGTTAGGGGACAGTTTCTGTTGCACCGACAGTTAGGGGTCACCTAAATGTTAAAATGCCACCTAAATATAGGTACTAGAAATACGGGTTCTAACGATGGTAAAACGAAATTTAGTTTAGGGGCTAGTTTAGGGGAACTTTTAAGCTAGGGATCCCATACGTAGGTGGTAGCTTATGGAATGTTGGTGAAATCGGGCATAAGTTACGTCATCATACATCATCATACAGCGGCTCTCAATTACTTCGCTCGGGATCGGTTCTAGATAACAAAATACAATTTTTAAGCATAATAACACTATTTTCGTTTTTTATGTTTTAAGCATTAGTTATCTTTATTTCTTTAATTTTTTAATCTATCTCTGTGCCAATCACCAGATTTATCCTTCTGGCGCGTTCGAGTAAAATTGACACTAGTGACCTCCGGCCATTTTGTCGTCCACTACGCCATTATTATTTTTCTTGTGACGTTGTAGGGGTAATCTCTGGATCTATTGAACCGATCTCCTTCAAACTATTCTTTTACCAGATATTAATTTAGCCACGTTCTTAGAGTGTATAGGCTATATTTAATCCGAAAAATGAAAAGGCTTTTCTTATATCGGAATTTGCAAAGTAAGTCGCAAAAAACGTGTCGATGAGCTTCAGTCGTCGCGTAAGACTCGTCGTCCGTAACGATGAGAGATACTTAGATCTACAACTAAATTTAGAACAAGTTTAGGCTTAAAATTTTGTTAGCTACAAAAAGTACTCTACTGCGGGGATAGCATATGTCTAACTTTTTATACCGCGTTTAAGTCATAAAATAGCGAATTTTCTTTATATTCTCAAGTGGTTTCAATTCACCATAGTTCCATTACTATACTTATTTTATAAAAGGTAGCCTTTAATAAGGAATACAAACATTTAACGTATGCAGAGACCAAACCTGCTATTTCCCTTACAATAAATTGTGCCAAATATATATTCTTCCCTTTTACTGCATTCCCAATCACTTTGGACAACATCTTCTGTACTGCTGAAGAGATTTGGCACAACAGTATTCGACCGGCCGCCTCACGCCTGCCTGACGTCAACCCTCCTTGGAATGCTATTTTTCTCTTTGTACGGGCTAATTCGCGGATCTTGTAATTGGACCTATTTAATTTTATTGTCTTTTAAATTTTGCATGGTGGTACATTAAAATAAATTTTGGGCAATATGTGTAATATTGACTTGAAATATATCCCGGAATATATATAAAGAGTGTATATGTATAAAAGAACTAGCTACTCACCCTTTACAGCTTCGCTTTAGTACAAAAACCACTGATTGGATTTTTAAATAAAACGTAGCTTAATATATTCACTTATAACATCAACTACTAGTGAAAATTCCGTCAAAATCAGCCTAGCCGTTTCGAAAAATGTACTTTTCCAACGTGACAGGCAAAAATTTAGATTTTTTTATGTTTTCTTGTAAATAAATTATGTACACAACATAGTAAAAACATAGTTTACATTACAAAAAATTGCCTTCGTTTTACTGTTTGCTGTAGATATATATCTCATTACGTGTGTGCGTCACATATAAAGTAATGTAAACCAACTTTCCAAAACGAAATTTGGCTTAATCGTGAATCTTTTACTCGTATGTCACCGATTAGGGTACCTTTTGTATGTTGGAAATTTATGTATGTATGTTTGAAAGGTTCAGCCCTTTTTAACCCAGGTGATCCCTATAAAGTTTTATCGAGGTCGGATCGAGCGGTTTTTAAAGTCAATCCAATAAATATAGGGTGGTGGACTTCAACAATTGTTTAATATCGAATATGTTATTAAAACTTGCTAGTTTCTGTCCTAGACATGCAGGTTATTACGTCTACACGTTAAAAAATAAAAGGGGGAACTGTGTTACAAAAAATAAAACCGACTCGCACATGAAAAAAATTACTAAAGGTGCGAGACCCGGATTTTCATTGCTAGCATAGATAACTAATGCGATATTTTCGAAATGGTGCCAGCGGACCTTTTACTTAAAGAAAATATCTTTCCCATGGGAATGTATTTAACGTATCAATAGTATTTTATCGAGTCACCCTCGCTTCGAAACCTTCCTCTAGAAAAGCTAAGCTAGCCCACGGGACTGTCATTTTTCAAAACGGGATATACTAAAAAATTGTAGTTTGAAATATAAGTTATCACAGAAAAGTTTTACTAAATTAGGTATATGTCTATCTTACTAAGCTGTACACTCGCACTATTTATTCTCTCTATCTCCTAAGGTAATAAAAACCTTAGGAGATAGACAAATCGATTGCGCGTTTTCTATAGACTTTTTAAGACTTACAATTTTACTCAACGATGTTTTGATCTTAATTTTAAGTATAATGATTAAAACCATAGTGTCGGGTCAACGATTCGAATACCATTATTGTGTTTTCGACCTACGTACGTTTCGAGTTATCCTGTCGTAAAAGGTATCCTAACTGGTTGACCCGAGTATCGAAGTTTTATCACTATACAAATTTATTAAAATGGCTGTAGATACTTTTTGCGTGAAAGATAGATCAAAATCGATTGTACAAGAAAATTAGTAAGTCTTAAAAAAGTCTATAGAAAAGTATGCGAGTACTTAGGAGTATAGACATATACTCTAAGGTACACTCGCTATAACTTTTTCCAGACCTACATATTTCTGTTTTATTATATTGTAATGTTTTAATGTATCTATGTCTTAATATAGGTACATAAGCCAGCGGAAGGTTTCTAGGGAGGACTCGACCAGTAATTGTATTTTCCCGTAGGAAAGAAAGATCAGGCCATAGTCCACCACGGTATCTGGCCAGTGCGGGTTGGCGGACTTCACATGCTCGTTGGGAAACCGAGTGAAGCAAGTTCAAATCTCAGACATGCCCTCTGATATTTCCTCATGTGCAAATGTTTTCTTCACCGTAAGGCAAGGTGAAGTAAAACATCGTGAGAAACATACATTATGAGAGAACCCAGCAAGTTTTATCAGAGAAGTCCGCGAGACCTGAACTTGAACCGCGTTTACTCGTTATCTACTGAAGGAGGCCCGTTACCCAGCAGTGGGCTACCACTGCCTTTATAGGTACATACATAAATACATAAAACTGTAGAGGTCGAAAATGTCTGTACATCGAGTATGGTATCAAAAATTGCTAAAAAATCGATACTTACTTTTCGTGAAACCTTACGCAACAAATCAGACAAACAGACATAAGGCAAGGCAGACAAATCCAGACAATTTTTTCAAATTTTTTGTTTTGGGGCCTATGTTTGTCTGTTCGTAAAACGGGTACAAATAAATAAAAACATCGTTCCCAGGGAATAGTACTATTTTCCTATTTAAATGAAATTTGATACTTTTTCATTCCGGAAAATTAAAGAGTTCCCGTGGGATAGTTTCATCAAAACCCAATCAGTAGTTTTTGCTCAGTACACAACTGTATAAGTTATGCACCTAATTTTTGACTAAAATTGGCACGGAAACTCTTTAATTATATAGCAGGTCAAAAGTAGCTGTTTTGTTATTTGTCATGTATAACTATATTAATTGTAAGTTATCATTAAAATCCAATGAACGTTCCCGTGGAATAGATCTGTTTGTGCTTTTCTAGAGGTGAATCCCGAGCCGAAAACTTTTAATTTACCGGCGTAAAAGTATCTAAGTCGTTGCGTAATATAATACCATATCTACAAAATTTCATTTAAACAATTTAGGAAAATTTTGTTAGCTCAGCCCGTACTCTAGCGAAAACGACAAACCGCTCGCTCGGGTTCGTCCATACCTCGAATTTAGCTAATAATAATACCACTTAGCAAATTTTCTTTATATGCAGTCAAGTCTTTGGTTTTAAACCATTTTAGTTCCATTACTTACTTATTTTGATAAAAGGTATCTAATAAGGAATACAAACATGTTATATAATTTGACAGATAACATGACCTAACCCTTTGCTTATTTTTTTTAATATAAAAAACTACTTTGTGACTGTCAGCGAATATATACCTTCTCTTATTCCCTGTCCTGACTTTTTATAGGTATTTTAAGCTCACAACTTTTCTCTAGAAACATAATCTATATCTGTACATCGATAGGCAGCGTTGGCGTAAGAAACGTTTTCGTTCGACCGGCCGTTTTTTCTCCGACTTACTTTGCAAATCGCTCATTGGGAATGCCTATTGTCATCTCTTTGTCTGAATTGTAGCCTATGACACTCAGGAAGTGGCTTTCTAGTGGTAAAAGAATTTTGAAAATTTTCAGTAGATCCGAGATTACCCCCTACAACGTCACAAACTCACAAACAAACCCACTTTACTCACTTTAGATCACAAACTTTACCTCTTTATAATATTAGTATAGATTTTCTATATTTTTTTTTATTATTTTCTATTATTTTACATTAAAAAATATATATATATATATATATATTATGACAACGTCAATACAAAATCATCCTCGCTTCGGTTTTAATTTTTAAAATATACCGGCGGAACCTAATTCATTTTAATTGAAATAGTATAAAAGCCTAAGTTTTAAAACACAACTCGAAAGTGCATAATATTTAACACCATTCAGACAAAGAAAGACAATAGCATTCCAAGGAGGGTGACGTCAGGCAGGCGCCCGTAAACTTTTGCCAAATCCTAGCAGTTTCGGAAGATGTACTGCGCCGAACCCCAAGTGACAGACAGACAAAGAATGTAAGAAATTGTTTTTTAGATTTATAATATTCGGCTGGCACTGACTTCGGAAATATCTGATTATATTTGACATTACAACCCCCGTTTAGTAATTAGATGATTTTATCTCATGGAAGTCGTTTTATTGTTAAAAAGACTTTTACCTTGTATCGTTGACATTATACCGTTCTTTTATAAGTTTTGTAAATCAACAAAGCAAGCAACCTTATTGTATCGTTAGTTTCTGTCTTTAGTATCAGAGGTTGCGGACTCAATTTTCTCTTGAACTTTACCTGTCAATGCCTAAACCTTTAAAAATTATATGTAGCTTACCTTACAACTAAAGGTTTATAAAATCAAGTTTAAAATCAACTAGCACATATTTTATATATATATATATATATATATATATATATATATATATATATATATATATATATATATATTCCTAAAGGTAAGTACTTGCGATAAAACATAGGCAAAATAATTTCTACTCTTTAGAGATAGACCTTCAAGCGAAACTGTAATCTTTTGCAATACTGTAATCATTCATTCTTGCAAGTTTTTATAACCTCTAGGTACTACACTGACGGTTACACAAAATCTGAACTTTCAAACGTAAATAGAAAATATTTTACGTGACATTAATTTTTAGGAAATACTTACAATTAACTATAATATATGTATATGGGATAAAAATAAAATTCAAAATTATTATACATTACATTTATATTCAAAACATTTTAAAAACTGTGCATAAAATCTATACATATAATAAAAGTGTAACTGATCGCGGTTTCTACATGCAAAATATTTGCGAAAAACTATATTATTGGGGGGTCTTTTTAAAGCATTCGAAACGTCGAGAACCAAAAATCAAAATAAATACGCGAAATAATCCGAAAAGATAGTTTTATTTAAAACTAGCATTGCCCGCGGCTCCGCCCGCGTTCAGGTGACCGAAAGCCAAATTCTTAGTTTTATATATTATTGCTCTTACATTGCAGTTAGTGTATTTTTTCTCTTAAATACGATATTTTCCCCGTTGACCCGGATAACCAGCTACCATCGTACCAATTTTCATCAAAATCCCTCCAGTGGTTTTTCCGTGATGCGGTAACAGACAGACAGACAGACAGACAAAAATTCTAAAAACTATAGAATCGGCCTCTGTATCGATAATAATGTCTATTACAATAAGATTTTCCAAAAAATATTAATCGGCTTAGTTACAATTTTATTATATGTATAGGTGTACTCGTAAACGTGTAGACTATGACATTCTTTTAAAAAATAAACAACAATTTAAGTAACTTTTCTTGTTATGTGCACTAAGGTAAAATTTAAGTGCAAACCATGTAATTTAGTAAAGTATATATATATATATATATAAGTACATTGACGACACGTTTGGCTCAGTGTGTAGTGACCCTACTTGCTGCGCCAGCGGTCGCGGGTTCGAGTCTTGCTAGGGGCATTCATTTGTGTGGTGAACACGAATATTTGTACTCCAGTCATGGATGTTTACATTTATAATATGTATGTATTTAAAGTTATATACGTATAATGTATCAACTATCTGGTATCCATAACACAAGCCTCATAGCTTACCATGGAACTAGAAGGTGTTGTGTGTTAATGTCCTGACATATTAAAAAAAAAGTATTAATACATAATTAAAATTTAACTACAGTTATAAACTGATACATAGCACGTAGAGTACTAGCGAAAGTATAAATGTTCACAGGTATTATATCAGCTGCTAGAAGCGATATCGGCTTTTGTGCTTGTAACAACATGACGTATATCGTTTTCTTCTCCTTTATACCAAACTTTTCCCAGCCACAGCTATAAATTGCATTTTCGAACACCTCCGCTGCATTAATGAGACGTTGACAAAGAAAACAATATAAGAAGAAAACGAGAAAGCAATATATGAGGACTGGTGAGAAAGTCACCCATTCGCGTAAAGAGAGATAAAAGAACAAACATATGCAGACAGCATTTGAACCAAAATTGACTCCTATCGGCATACTGTATAAGGATTTTAAATTTGCTATAATCTTCAAAGTCAAGGCATGACGTTCGATTAGAAATGGTAGTTGCTTCTGAACTAGAACATTTACTTCCTCAATATTTTCAATTTTGCCGAAAACCAGCATTTCAGCGGTAAGCATTTGGTACATAGCTGCTGTATGGGCTATGAGGAATAAAAGGAGAGCTTGGTAGTTAAGAACTACAGTCATTATAGATATTTCCTGTACAAATAGTATTACGTGACAGATTTCACGATTTGGTGATGCTGTTAATGGCTCCAAACCTAAAAGAATTTAAAAATCTAATTAAAAAAAAATTATAAACGTCATCTACTAACTAACATAATTATCACCTCCAGGTAAATTTCTAAGAAATTAATTAAATTTCTAAGAAATTTATTGTTAACTGTAACGCCGGCGTGTCCGCGGTCGTTGAGGGATTAATAATGTTTTTTATAAACTAAGACTGTATTCGTATAATGATATAGTAAATATATAAAAAATAAAAAGATTTGATATAGGTACAATTTCATAAGAAGATGTTCTAAATAATATTGATGCTTTGGATAGTAATAACATTGATCATCTACACTGTCTAAATTTCTTCATAACACAATAGCTGTTATCTATACATATAATAAAATTGTAACTAAGCCGAATCTGTACATTAAACATTTTTTTGGAAAATCTCATTGAAATAGACATTATTATCGATACAGAGTCCGAATCTATAGTTTTTAGAATTTTTGTCTGTCTGTCAACAGACAGACAAACCGCAGGTAACAACAGGTAACAACCGCATCACGAGAAAACCACTGGACAGATTTTGATATTTGGTATGATGATAGCTGGTTATCCGGGTCAATATATAGGATACTTTTTACTGCGGGAAAATATTTCATTTCTGAGAAAAAATACAAAAACTGCATTGTAAGATTATACTAATATGTAAAACCTAAGAATTTGATTTTTCGTCATCTGAACGCGGGCGGAGCCGCGAGCAATGCTAGTATTAATATATATGAGTAATAAAATAATCTTACCATAACAAGGCGTCATTGAATAGTAATCATTAGAAACATCAATTCGGTGCGGTATATATATAAAAAATGCATCTATTAAATTGAAACCGTAAAAAATAAACAAAATCTTCTTTACGACAGACAGCAGTTTTTCATGTTTATCTCTTAAAGGAACTGACTCTTTGGACAAATTATCGTTTCTAGTAACTTGTTCGATTACTACTTTCAATAATGGTCTGAAAAAAAATTTTTTTTTCTGTCATTGTCATATTACAGTGTCCAATTACACAGTATATTCCTACAACCCTCATGTTCAGAGGCGATTATAACTGGACACGACCAGTTAGAGATGAGACGAAAGACCGGACAGCCTCTAAGATACAGGGGTGTACACACCGCCGACGTTCCGACTCCGAGCTGCTTCCAATTATGGTGCGCCCCGAGATTCGAACTCAATACCTCACTGTCTGCAGCCGTATACGATAACCACTAATACGCAGTATGTAATGTGACGTATCGATAATAATCTATACATATAATAAAATTCTAAGTCGAATCTGTACATTAAATATTTTTTGGAAAATCTTATTGAAATAGTTATTATTATCGATACAGAGGCCAAATCTATAGGTTTTAGAATTTTTGTCTGTCTGTCTGTCTGTTACCGCATCACGGAAAAACCACTGGAGGAATTTTGATGAAATTTGGTATAGTAATAGCTGATTATCCGGGTCAACATATAGGATACTTTTTACCGCGGGAAAATATCTAATTTCTGAGAAAAAATACAAAAACTGCATTGTAAGAGTATACTAATAAGTAAAATCGTTCTTACCGTTTCATCAAAAACCAATAGCTGTTGTTAGCAGTTAGGATGAGTATGGAAATATTGACGTAACTTTTAATAAAATCACTGGCACCCTGCGCAAACTGTATCTGATATACAACATTGCCTACCCCATATATATAAAATAGAAGAGATAAATGGATAATCCAAAATGGTGCTGAAAATATCGAACCAATAAATTTTATCATACAAGCTTTATTTCTTAGCTCAGAACACGTAAAATCTTTAATTATATCTATGATGAGTGAATTTTTATGAATATTACATTTTTTACAGGTTTTTTTTAGAAATAAGTCATACTTAAAAGTGTTAAAATAAATACCGTCTAAAATGTCTCAGTTGGTCTCAAAGTACAAACTTCTAGGTCCTAAATCTTAATGGTTTGATTTTCGCAAGATCCTTTCTAAGCGAATACTTAACTTGCCTTTCAAGTTTTTAGGTATAAATCTAAGACCGTGAATAGACTTTTAGTCTTTATATAAAATTCAGGTAAAGCATACTTATAATTTACTAGCAGAACCCACGGCTTCGCTCGCGCTAAAACTATGATAAAACTAAAAAGGTAGGTTTCATATAAACTTTCATCCCATATTCTATCCCCTTAAGGGATGAATTTCGAAAAATGCTAAAACACGTATTTATTTAATTGTATTGAAGAGAATTTATACCAAGTTTCAAGTAATTCTGATCATAAATATTTTTTGGGTTGTATTATACATAGTAGCGCAGCTGCCAGTCTAGCAGAAGATTTTAAATAAATTTACCTGAAATTTTGTCTTTTAAAATAGAGAACCCAGCTTTAGATGGGACCAGATTGACAAGCCATATTATATTTTCTAGGCTATTATCTCTGAGTTGAAAACGACTTCGCACCAAAGAAATCTTGATATTATCTATAAATCTCATTTCTGTTTTGTTATTTAATACTGTTATAATACTTTTAGATGTACTTTTATCTGTACTATTCAGCAAGTTTGTGCAATTGTAAGGAATAAAATGAAAAATGTAGTTTTACTTTATCGAAAGGTATCATTATGTTAAAAAATGAAATAGTATGGTTAATTTAAGCATATGTATCTTATAATTAAATCGACGCATGTTGCCCTCTTATTTCTCTTGCAACATTTTTTTTAATATAAAACCCGTCTTTCCTGTGTTACTTGCGCTAGTTATTTACTAATCTATACATATAATAAAATTGTAACTAAGCCGAATCTGTACATTAAATATTTTTTGGAAAATCTTATTGAAATAAACATTATTATAGATAAAGAAGCCGAATCTATAGTTTTTAGAATTTTTGTCTATCTGTCTGTCTGTCTGTCTGTTACCGTATCACAAAAAACCACTGGTGGGATTTTGATAAAATTTGGTATAATGATAGCTGGTTATCCGGGTCAACAACAATAAAGAATAGTTTTACCGTGGCAAAATATCTCATTTCTGAGAAAAAATGCAAAAACTGTAATGTAAGAGTATACTAATCTGTAAAACCTAAGAATTAGGCTTTTGGTTATTAGAACGCGAGTGGAGCCGCGGGCAATTCTAGTCTCGTATATAAATAAAAACCAATTGCCAAATGTATGTAAGCGTATTACTTTAGAACGGCTGCACCTATTTGACTGATTCTTTTTTTGTTGTATTTGTAATTGTCAGGTTAGTATGGAAGAAATGTTTGAAAATTGAACGGAAAAGTAAAAATTTTGGGTTAGAAAATCTCCATATAAAAAAGTGAGTTGAGAGATTGTTGTTCAGTTTCTTACATTGATTTTTCTATTAGATTCGAAAAAAAATCATTTGTTCATGTAAATGTAAATATTCAACTCTAAGCGACTAAGGAAGAAAAAATAATTAAAATTGTTTTAAGTGAAATAACTGAAGGATCGAATTCTTTAAAAGTATGTTTATCTTTAGTAAAGACTTATTTATATATGAATAAATTATGATAATTTTGTAACTTTAAGTCTCCGTAAAAGGCAGTGGTAGCCCAGTGGTAACGCGCTCGCTTGAGAAACCGAGTGAAGCGGGTTCAAATCCCGGGTCTCGCACCTCTGATATTTTCATGTGCGAATCATTTCTAACATGATTACCACTTGCCTTACGGTGAAGGAAAACATCGTGAGGAAACCTGCATGTCTGAGAGAACTTAGCAAGTTTTCTAAAGACATGTGAAGTCCGCCAACCCGCACTTGGCCAGCGTGGTGGACTATGGCCTGATTCCCCTCGTACTGAAGGGAGGCCCATGCCCAGCAGTGGGACGATAAAAAGGGCTGAATACAAGTCTCCGTAACTTGTGACTTCTTCATTTCTTAAAAAACGCGTCTGTGTGTGTGTGTACATATGTACGCACGTAAGAAGTTAAACTTCTTTGGCGTCACAGACAAAAATAGCTAAAGATTTCTTCATCCCGTATGTCACAACTCTCTGTTTGTAAAAGAAATGCAGCTAACTCCATCATGTCGCTTTTCAGCTGTCGGTGTGCGCGCGCATCGTAAAAATTTTACTCTCATAGTTTTTTCCAAACGTGCCAAAAAAGTATAACTTAAAAAAAATATTATATACATATACTCGTATTTAGACTCCTTATCTATCATCTCTCCTATCCAAAAATACCATCCACTCGTCCAGAAACAGCGTCCCATAAACATGGGCCATACCAGCAATTGCCAGTTCTTCTCAGGTCTGAGGCTTCTTCTTTCCGAACTGGTAGTAGACTCAAGACGTTCAGTAAAAAATTGTAATAATTTAATGCTGAATAAAATATTTTGAATTTTGAATTGAATGCAGGCGTAGCTGTAAGGTAATGCTAGTAATTAATAAAAATAGTTAATTAATACTATCAGCAATAAATTCGCTCGCTTAGATAAAGAAACTTTGCAATTTATTATTATAAGTAGATACTTAAGGAAACTGGTTTTATGAAATTTTATTATTACCGTATTTATTCCACACGCCATTCTTTCATGCGGGATAAAACAAAAACTAGCAAAATAGCACGTGGTGCTCTACATTTATCCTTTTTTTAACGTTGGGAAATGCATTTACACACGAGGTGTGACTCACCGGCAAAGCCAGTACTACCAACTTAAACCCAACAAAACCTACCCCCGTCTTAATGGGGTGTCACAGGATCGCTTACGCATTCAACTACGATGCCCCGACGGCAGGTCTGCCGAAGCAGACCACAACAACCACGGGGTTGCTCCACAGTCCACTCTGCTATCAGAGAAATACCAGGAGCAACCCGCATGGTGCACCGCCCTCCGAAGAGGGCCACCTCCCACCGCCCACGGAAGCGGGCCACCTCCCTGTGCGTTTCTTGGCTTCGCACCCGGCTGGATTGCCGGGCACTACTGAGCCCCCCACCACGACAAGGAGAACGCACGTTGGGGGGGGCTCTACATTTATCCTATATTGAGACACTTTGTGTTATGGTATTACTGATCATCACATTTTGTTTATACCATAACTAAATAATTTGTATACAAATTATTTGCATCCACATAAAGTACAAACAGATATACATTAAAATATATTTTTATGTGTAGAAATCCACAATATATGAAATTATCGCCCGTGACATATGTATTAAAAAATAATAGCTGGGAATACATACTGTATACTTTAATTATATAGAATAATTTTTCATCGCTCACCATTATCTAGCCTTTGTACTATACTCACCTATAATGACTGTTAATTATTTACCCGACTTTAAAAAAGAAAAAGGATGTACGCGTATATTTTGTATACATAAATTAAAGAAAATATATCTCAGACTAAAGACGGAGTCCGCCATGATAAGTGTTAAAGCCTAAAATACTAAATAGCATGATTTTCGGTTTATGCTAATATGTATTCTCAATTTTCCAATACAGATAGTTTACTTTCTTTAAAGAATAAGGGAAATTTTATATGTTAATAGTTAAAATATTATAGATTTTCGAGAATAAAGTATGAATTATAAAATAATACTATTATAATAATCTTTTGTTTTTTTAAGTGTTAGTTCTCTTTAATTAACTTTTTTTTCTTTGTTATAAATAAATATGTCGGGACATTAACACACACCACCATCTAGTTCCATGGTAAGCTACGAGGCTTGTGTTATGGATACCAGATAATTGATACACTACACATATATAACTTTAAATACATACATATTATAAATAAAAACACCCATGACTAGATTACAAACATTCGTGTTCATCACACAAATGAATGTATCCAGCGGGACTCGAACCCGCGACCGCTGGCACAGCAAGTAGGGTCACTACAAACTGAGCTAAACGTGTCGTCATTCTTGTCGTTATTGTTTGGCTTCATGTTTAGTTCTATAACACTCTGTGTATACTATTCCTTATTCTGACTGTCCATACTAATTAAATTAGATTTTTGCCGTTTTGAATTATATTTATGAGATATGTTTTTGTATATGATTTAGAAGTCGATATACGTTTTGGTAAATAATAAATATAGCTCATCATACTAACAGAAGTGCACTGATCATATCCCAAAAAAGTAACGAAATCCGTTTAAGATGCACTACGCCGCAAAGCTAAAGCAGTTACATATATCAACTATGGCAGCTATGTTACTAGTATATATATATATATATATACGTAGTATATATATATATATATATATATATATATATATATATATATATATATATATATATATACGTAGTATATATATATATATATATATATATATATATATATACGTGATATTGATATCTAACCGTACGTTTTCTTTATTTTTTTTTACCTAACAGTGCAAGTTTTGCTGCATTCATCAGGTGGCTCGATCTTACGCTGCCCATATAATATGATGTAGAGAAGAAATAGCTGTTTCTATATAATATGTAATAATTATTCGTATATCTTGGTTAGACATCTTGAATAGCATAGTATAAAAGCTAAAAGTTTATTTTATTATCATTTATAATGAAAAATGTGTTGTGCCTGATGTGTCACGTGTTTAATGTAAGAGCTCGGTATGAAAAATTCTAATATTTTTATTTATAATTTTGAAATATATGATAAAGATATAAAAGTAGTTTTACTCATAATGGTCATTCTAATTTTCTGGAACTACAGAATCAAGTATTCTGAAATAAAACAAAATATAGAGTCCACTCTACTTTAAAGGAAACCTAATAAAAACGATAATTTTAAAATTAAGAATCCCTAATATTATAAATGTGAAAGTGAGTTTGTTGTTTGTCTCTCTTTCACGTCGAAACGGAGTGACGGATTGGCGTGATTTTTTGTGTGGAGATAGTTGGAGGACTGGAGAGTGACATAGGCTACTTTTTACCGCGAGAGATAATCTCATTCCTATGGGAAAACACGTAACAATACAACCCAAAAATTATTTATAATCAGAATTACTTGAAATTTTATTAATGCTATTCAATAATATTAAATAAATACATGTTTTAGCATTTTTCTAAGTTAATCCTTTATGAGGGTGAAATAGGGGATGAAAGTTTGTATGAAACTTAACTTTTTAGAGTTTTTTTGTAGCTTTAGCGCAAGCGTAGCCGCGGGTTCTGCTAATAGTATATTTTTGTGACTCGTATCCAAGAACAATCTTTCCAACATAATATTTTACAGCTCTATCTATCAACAACATACTACATATTATAAAACATCTTAGTGATCTTACTACTGCTACTAATTTAGTGTTAAACTCAACACTAGATGTCGCTTCTAGTAAACATATTTAATAATAGATGGCGTTAGCGAGCTCACTTATCTTATTAAAACAGATTCTAGTAAAAAGTCGTTTTTATATTTACTCCCTATTATATTACAGTAGTTTATGATTCATAGCCAAATGATAATTTGTTACAATTTGCATTTTTTCCTTATATCGTTATCAGTGTACAATTCTTAACTTGTTAATATCAAGCCAAGAAGTCAACTTGATCACTCGAGGTCACACTCACTATCCTTAACGAACAATATTCATACAGACTTTAGTTTAATGCAAACCTTAATATTTTATTATTATATACGATTGTTAGTTTTCCAACACATTCATTAACACTAGCTACTTCTGTAAATATTATTGCTTTAAGTGTTCTTTCATGTTCTTTTTAATACCGATGTGCTTTAATTTTAAAATTCGCTTTAAAATAACTAGGATTTTTTGCTCATGACCTTGATTCTACTTTAACAACGTAAAACTACACTACAAAATATATAATCATTAATTAGCTCTATACAATAATGGCTATCATTAGATTATTTGCATAAGAAACCGGTAGGTATAATTTAAATTTGTTTCGTCAGTATGAACTACGAAATGATAAAAAACTCTAATTTCAGTTTGAACCTTTTAAACTTGTGTATGGTAGGTAGTACCAGGCAGTGGTAGCCCAGTGGTAACGCGCTTGCTTGGGAAACTGAGTGAAGCGGGTTCAAATCCCGGGTCTCGCACCTCTGATATTTTCATGTGCGAATCATTTCTAACATGATTACCACTTGCCTTACGGTGAAGGAAAAACATCGTAAGGAAACCTGCATGTCTGAGTGAACCTAGCAAGTTTTTAAAAGACATGTGAAGTCCGCCAACCCGCACTTGGCCAGCGTGGTGGACTATGGCCTGATCCCCCTCGTATTGAAGGGAGGCCCGTGCCCAGCAGTGGGACGTTAAAAAGGGCTGAATACACAAACTTGTAATAATTTAATATTACTTTAAGCCTTGAGTGTATACTGTATACAATAGTACTAGTTAATTATATTATAATTATATGATCTGTGATACAATATAGGAATTATAGTAATAATGAAGGTATAAAATTCTGCTACAAATTACTCAAATGTTCCTCGGAGCATACTTTGTAGTTTTCCTTAAAATCAGCAGTAGGTAGGTATACAATATAGAAATATTGTGGGCTTAACCAAAATAAGAACTGGTAACCTGTTTACTTTTAAATTTAATAGTTCAACTTTGTGTTTTTTATCCTTTCATGCGCGTTGAAGTATTGATAAACTTTTCATTAACAATCATGAAATGAAAATGTCGAAAATATATTATATTCGTCTAACACACACAAATACATACTAAAATACATACAGCTAGCTCGAGGGCCCCTCTATTTTTAGTAATCGCTCAAAATATTGATTGCGATACGTACAAATTTAATTTATTCTAAAGAGTAGGTACGGAGATAAGGAAGGAAAAATCAACTGTAGCTCTTCTATTACCCACCGCTGATTTTTTTCCATTAAAACTGTATCTGTAACATTTCGACTTCATATCTTTTACACACATGAAACCTTGAATAATCCAATAGCAAAATAATAATAGATACAGATAACGTATCTCACTAGTATTTTTAATAATAGGTTGGACGTAAAATATTAGAAAAATATGGAGCATCGTGCGCGAAAAGATATCAAATGACCATTAATCATTTTTAAGCTACAGTGTTCGTGTGACACGGTTTAATATTTTTTTTATCAGCCACGTTTGAAAAGGGACGATATAAAATAAGCAAATAAAAGATTGATATTTTTATTCCATTCGAAAGCATTTCTTTACGTTCAACAAGCACGTCGACATTAACCTCAAACATTTTGGTTTCAATACTTAATAAAATCTAATCTAAAAATATTTCCAAGGGCATTAGAAATATAGGACATACATTACCTTATTGTTAGATAGAGATAAATTATATACAGTCATATTTGTTTAAGAAAATAAATTAAAGCTTTCTTATGCCACACTAAAAGCCGAGGGCACTCGGCTGGGCTCATGTCAGCTGCGCTCAGAGCTGACGCTGCGCACTCTTCGTATAAACTCCTCAACTTTTTTATACGGACTCTGGCATTGGTTAGCCTCTATGAGATATGGTCCATTGTTTCCTTCGCGACCTTCGGGAGTATGTCGGCCGTTTGAATGATCATTCACAACTTTGTTCAAAAACGGTTCTTTTTCTGGATTAGATAAGGTGACAGCCTTGCATCTATCATTATTGGCAGCCATTTCCGCCTCTCTTTGTCGTAACCACACTGGAGAGTTGACATAAATTTTCGGCCTTTCTCTTAACGCGTTACATCTTTCTAAAGCAGGCCTTCGCATTGGTATCGGCGGTCTGTAAGCTGCGGGAAGAGGAACTGTTCTCCCAAATACTGTGCAGATCAAACCTTTTAGTGCTGCTCGAAAATCTTTTAAATGGTAAGCATATAACAATGGATTGATCGCAGAATTAAGATGCGAGAATATTATACAGAAATATGTCAGTGGATTTGGAATGTCTAATTCAGGCATAAAGGCTTTGATTGCGTTGATGGTGTATAGAGGTATCCAGCAGACTATAAAGAAGAAGACGATTATAGCGAGGTTTTGTGTAGCTTTGACTTCTCGTTTTTGTGCTGCTCCTAATACTCTTAACATTGTTCCGCCCCGACCTTGACCACCTTCGACTGTCACCACTGCGCTCATCTGCAATGATAATAATAGTATTAATTACAAGTTACTTAATAACAAGTTATATCAATAACATATTATTATAAGAACTACATATAGAAATAACCGATTCCCAACAGAATAAGCGAGAATGGTCAATGGACAATTTCTCACTGCTACAAAGACCTATTTCTGAATAACTTCAAACAAAGGAGCAGCTAAATGTCTAATGACAGATTGTTGCTTTGAGCGGGATACAGAATATATATATATATATATATATATACACATATATATTTTAAAAAGGTACGCCACAAGAATATTTGGCTTGAAAAGAGTTGACGTGACGTCCTCTACAACAATCTTCATTTGATTATCCTCATTCCGTGTAAAGTGGAGCGTTAAAGATACATACTACATTAGAATATAAGTGTTTAATACGTAGTTAAAATTTAATATTTTATATATAATCGCTATTTATATTTTTACAGCTTAGTAGGCGTTCGCCCTCGGCTTTACCTGCGTATTAGGTATAAGTATGTTTTATTGCTGCTCACCCGAAGGCCGTAATGCTATATCCTCAATAAATCTATATAATGTAAAAACATTTTTCAAATCAATTAGGACTTCTAGAGATTTGCGCGTTCAAACAAACATGCTCTATAGCTTTATATATAGGTATAAGTAGTTATAAATAGTCTGTTTTTAAGGCAGACAGACAAATAGTTAAACTGGTTATGATGAAATCGGGGGCACAAGCTAATACTACAGTAAAAATAGAATTTAACTTTGCATTAAATATCCGATCCAATTGTTTTATTTTATAAGGTTTAGGATCACTTACTGAGTATAAAATCACAAAATGTTGGCAGACTCCGGTGGAGCTTCAGCCATCTTGAAAAAACGTTTTTGGCCGATATCTCGGAAACTATGCCCTTTATGGCAAAAGTTATTGAAACTATTTTTGTTTTATTTATTTTTGTTTTTCTGATTAATTTTTTTGTAAAACTTACCGTTTACGATTTATGGCCCATTTAATGAACCGATTCTCCTATTTCGACCAATAACTCTTAAAATATTGGTTGAATCAATAAAATGCATTTATTCATTTTTACAGATCCATTTATACTCTAAAACTTTTGTTTAAAACTTTTTTTTTTAATAAAAATAAATTATAAAAAATAAATTTTGTGATTTTATACTCAATAAGTGATCCTAAAACCTTATAAAATAAAAAAATTGGATCGGAAATTTAGTGCAAAGTTGACCAAAAAAAGTCTATTTTTATTGTAGTATAAATCGTTGTTGAAAAAATAATGGAATATTTATTATACTTATATTGAAACAAGTGACAGTGTGAAAGGCAAACTTCGCTCGTGTATTTACTTTCTCTTTTCGACCTTTTAGGAGTGAAAAAGTTGGTTTTACGTAATATTATTGGCAGGATTAAAAAATACTGAGCACGTTTAAAAAAAAATTTGGTTGATAATAATTATATTAAGCTGCTATGTTATGTATGGAACTCTTCAAAGCAAAACAAATGCACTTAAACACGAAAATTTCACTTGAAACTAGTAGCCATAGAAGAGTTCTGCTTTCCCCCTTCTGGCTTTATTTTTTGATCAGTTTGATGGTGTAATAGAGTTCTTCAACAACGAGAGCATCTAATAAAAACATACTTTTTAACAATGCATTATTATCTATACATATAATAAAATTGTAACCAAGCCGAATCTGTAAATTAAATATTTTTTGGAAAATCTTATGGAAATAGACACTATTACCGATACAGAGGCCCAATTTATAGTTTTTAGATTTTTTGTCTGTCTGTCTGTCTGTCTGTTACCGCATCACAGAAAAACCACTGGAGGGATTTTGATGAAATTCAATATGGTGGTAGCTGGTTATCCGGGTCAACATATAGGATACGTTTTACCGAGGGAAAATGTCTCATTTCTGAGAAAAAATACAAAAACTGCAATGTAAGAGTATACTAATATGTAAAACCTAATAATTTTGGTTTTTGGTCATCTGAACGCGGGCGGAGCCGCGAGCAATGCTAGTTTACTCTAAATATATAATATCAAATTCTAGTACTATCAATCGAATTTAACATGCAACAGTTTTAAATCTTATTATTACCTAATAAGTGGTTCAAGGTTCAAACATATGGTTACAGTTTACCGGTGACGCTAAATACAAGCGTGTTAAAAAGAGATCGATATGAATAGAAATTTGCATAAAATAACCCACGAAGTTTACAAAGCGTTTACAATAGCCTTATATTTTGCATTGTTTATGACAAATTTCAAGAATATAATATATATGTTACGTCAAATTCGTAATATTTTAAATAAATAAATATCCATAAAAAGTACTGCTAATTCTATTTAAAAACATAAACCAAACTTCACACTTCATTACACCTTGTTCAAAAAATATAACAAAAATCTCCACCGAGCCGGTGTCGGTGCCAGCCGATACAAATCAAAGCACACCGACTTCAAAAACATTTAATTAGGTATCTATAGTAAATGAAAACTACCAATCAGTTATTTTTTACTTTTTAGTGCTTTTTTTGAAGTCGGTTTTTTTTAAATTTTTTATTATAAAATAAAACTATCTTTTCGGATTATTTCGCGGATCTATTTTGATTTTTGGTTCCTGACGTTTCGAATGCTTTACAGCATCCATGTCTCTCCCGTGACCATGGATGCTGTAAAGCATTCGAAACGTCGGGAACCAAAAATCAAAATAAATCCGCGAAATAATCCGAAAAGATAGTTTTATTTAATAATGTCAAACATTCGCGTAAATCTAAGAAAGTATTATTTTTATTATAACGTGGTTTCCCTTTATGCGTACTCCACGATCTATTTTATGACTCAGCTTTATTAAATAACAAGCGACTCACCCTCGCTGATCTCGGTTTCGCCCATAAGTTCGTTTTCACAGTTAGTATAGATTTCTCAGAGATGAAATATTTACTTGCAGTAAAAAGTATCCTACATGTTGACCCGGATAACCAGCTATCATTATAACAAATTTCATCAAAATCTATCCAGTGGTTATCTCGTAATGCGCTCCCAGACAGACAGACAAAAATTCTAAAAACTACAGATTCGGCCACTGTATCGATAATGACCATTTCAAAACATTTTCCAAAAAATATTCAATGTACAGACAGATTCGACTCAGAATTTAATTACATAATATGTATATAAATGTATAGATATTCTACTAGTAAAGATAATTTTTGAAAATCACAAAGGCTTCAATTATGGCTATTTATGGTTTACTTTTTATATCTATTTATGTAGGTTCTCGTTTTGTTCTATAATAAAATTGTGCGGGCAGAGGCGAGGTCAGAAGAGAAATCGGAATATTTTTCACTTTAGTTAAGTGACACATCGGAACTCGGCGATAACTTCATTACTCTAAAGACATCGACTCTATATAACTAAGAAGCCTTGCATTAGTTTTAAATTTTTATAAACATTGTTGTACTCAAACATTCATTTATTTATCAAAATATTCTGTTGCGAATAATATTATTCGCAACAGAATATTTTTGAATAAATTTCTGAAAGTTTTTTTAATTATATTTTTTTTGTCATTTTGACTGTACATATTAGAGTAAGATCCCGGTGCCCCCAGACGTTACTTATTTTCTCATAAGAAATATAAATGGGATAAAGTAGTGTTAGTACGTACTTTGAGTGTGTGCATACCTGCTACCTTGGGTCGACGGCCAATTCATAGGTACCAGGTGCTAAAGGTAGATAAATACAGTACTGATTTTTCTTAAATTCTCAGTGCTGATTTTTACATATGTTTTAGATATTGTTGTTAAAAATTAATAATCATTATTGCCAGACACTTTCCATCGGCGCTTACCCTTACCAGACGCTTTAAAGCTTCAAAAAAAATAACATATTCTTACTTATAATCTCACTCTTGATTTTTATGTATGATACTTGGGGAACTATTTGAATACCCCTGGTCAGCAGCCAGACCGATTGGAGGGGTCAAACATCCCCCAGACACACATAAAGTGTCGCTAAAATTCTGCTCTGTTCGATATAATCAAGAGAGATTAAAGATTCGTTACATACAAAATGGAATCGAACCTGAAGATTACAAGGTATTTTAAAGTGATCTGGGTGGAGAAAATTTTATAAATCATAAATATAAGTTTCTTTAACCTATGTTTTACATCTTATCATCGAGTTAAATTGAATACTACTATTTAAAAAATTCATGTTTATTAAATCTTAAAATTATACAAAGCTATACATGTCTTTCTTCTTTCGGATTATTTGTAGTTTGAACATTCAGCGTGATCTTTACTGTCATCATCGTCTAAGTTTGATAAGTCATTATCAACCCAATGTTGGCATTGACTATCTTCATTATCATCCATATTACTTTCATTTTCTGTAACAAAAATAACATAATTAAGAATCAAAGAGTTATACGGTTATATCAATTATTCAAATTTAAAGTATAATACCTGATTCTTCTTGAAGCGATTCAATGACAAAACTCGGCAATTGGTCCCCATCGAACCAGTTAAAATGATGTTTATTATCTTTCAACGTCCACCCATTATTGTCAGGACTAAAAATACTAATTTTCTTCATATGAGCATTCTTCCAGAGACTAGTGATATAATTAGCTCGTCGAAACTCCTGTGAAAGCTCACTTTTGCATGGTGGTAAGTTACTAGCATCAAAGTTTTTCACATTTTTACGATTGAACTCTTCATTTACGTCACAAACCATATAAGTGTTGATGAAGAGTTGGAGTCGGGCAGCATCTACGTCAATTATTCCGGCCACGTTGTACAGTTCACAAATAAATTTTTGTATAGTGTTGAACACATTTTGCTCCAGTTCTAGGTCACTGAATAAGTCTACATCGCCGAGTTTCATAAATGCTATCTGGTACTCTACTTTTTTTTCAATACATTAAATGGCCTTTGATTGCCTTTTCTAAAAAAAGCTGGATTGTAATCACAACCAGTTATTGCGTGA